GCTCGCCTGATTCGTTCTGCATTTAACTGAGAAGTAAAGACTCGTGTCAATGGCCACATCTTGTGACAACGATTTGGGTAATAATTGCAAAATCGTAAACACTGCACGCGTTTTCTTGATGTTTCTTTATCATGCATTCTGGTCCTGTTCTGGACATGTAACTTGTAAACAATAACGCCTACATATATGCTATTGAATACACAGAGAGTGCATTGCTACTGTAAAGATGTGACACTTTCCGTTGTTCCCTTTTGACGTGTCTACAGTTTATGGAGAAGGAAGAGAGAAAAGCTTTTCAGTTTTTCTAAATCGATGGTGATTGGTGACGAACTAATTTCTGTCTGTTTATGACAAGCTGATTTCTAAAAATGATAAACTTGAAATTTGTACTAAATGGGAAATGATATTCAATGATTGTGAATTTGACTGGCACAATTTTTTTGTATAGACATTGATTGAAAGACGTTAAACTTCTTGATTTTCAATACAGATTTTTGCAAAGAGTTATTTATCCTAAAAAAGAATGATCGAAAATGGACCTGATTGACAATGATTTGTGTAGTTTTTGCAATGATGTTTCTGAGAGCATTTGTCATGTTTATTGGGAATGTTGTGAAAGCATGAAATTCGGGAATTATCTAGAACTATGGATTAATAACTATTTACCACGAAAAATAAAGATTACAAAATATTTGATTTGGTTTGGTGCATTGCGTAATGATGTATTACTAAATCAAATCATTATCTCTGCCAAAAACATATCAAATTATCAATCTTTATAAAAAAATCAGTTCCAAAATTCAGTAATAATAAAAAGGTATTAACAGAGATATTTTCTGTAGAAAAATATTTTAAAGAGAAACAATGAAATTGAAAAAAAATCAATCTTATATGGAATTCACTCATCCCAATATTCAGCAACTAATTATTATTACATCTCTACAGCAATGTATCTTCATCTTTTCTGTGTCTGTTGCTACCGTATACCTCTGTTGTTGACTTTGTTACCATGGGAACAAATAAAAATAATAATTATATTTGTCTATATACACAGAGAAGCATTAAATCTCAAAAAGCTGATTTAGACTGTCCTCCCTGTACATACACTATTGCATTTAAGTCCGTCAATCCTGTTGAGTATATCCATACAGGATATCAACCACTGATCTGAGGTGAAGGCTACCCCATCTTTCGAATCAAACACCGTGAGTGCAAGTGCCTGAACTCCGTTTTGAACAGCGAGGCCGCATGGCTAGGGAGAAAGTGGTGTTACTGTTAGGCGTTTAGTACTTTTGTGAAACCCGTGAACACGGATATGGGCGCTAATGATCAGGATGAATCTGGTATATGGTCTTGGGTTAGAAATAAACACAGGAGCACTATCACTATATAGACCCCTATTTTGACCTTTTGACCCCTTCACTCTTTCTGCAGCAAATGCAAGAACAGCATTACAATTTCATTACAATGTCATTACAATGTGGGCGGTGGGGTAGACTAGTGGTTAAAGTGTTCACTGTGGTCACGCCGAAGACCCGGGTTCGATTCCCCATATGGGTACAGTCTGTGAAGTTAATTTCTGGTGTCCCCCGCCGTGATATTGCTGGAATATTGCTAAAAGCGGCGTAAAACTGAACTCACTCACTCATTACAATGTCATTACAGTCATATTATTGGAAATGATTTCTGTTTGTAAAATAGTAATCTGACATACGTCTTTATCTCTATATTTTTATCAAGTGCAGTCGCTGATAGCTTTCTCTTGAATGAAAGCAGCTTAAATTAAGTTACAAATATTCATGATTGGTGTGTAGGGGTGGGCATTAGATTGTTCCAATGGACAGATGGTAATATAAGGAAAAATTAATTTTTAGACTTACTGTGTAGTCGGTAGGTACTGCATGGTACTACAGAGTACTACAACTCCATGGGCTTTTCCACATTATTCTGACCCAGGAACATGGGAAATCTTTTGGGTCTTTTTCTTAGATGTATAGGGATAGTTAACTCTTGCTTCTCATCTCACATTGCATCACAGGTTACAAGAAGACCAGCAATAGTGTGGAGATCATTCTTACCCTGGATATTTAGCCGGGGCCTGTTTTGGAAGCTTTACCAGTGACGTGGATATTACCATCGGTGTCTTTATTGCTATGATCACTGTTTTGTATTTTACTGTCTTTGAATTTGTACTGCCCGGCTATTTTGTACTGTCACTACAATGCATATGTAGCAGCCGTACAATTTCCGGGTCTCGTGCTAGGATCCGAACCACGGACCTTCTGATTCGAAGTCGGACGCCTTGTCCACATGACCAAAGAGGTTAACCCCGTGAGCAAGCTGACAAGCTGAGGTCAGGTGAAACTGGGTTTACGTCGTGCTTGAGAATATTTCGCTCATATGACGAAGTGCGTGCGTGTGTATGTGTATGTGCGGCTGCTTGTACTAGCCCAGACTTCAGCTGGTTTTATAGTGCTAGCCCACTGAGATACCATGCCGCAGTGAAGCATGAATACACACCTCAGACACATTATACTGACTCCGAGCCGACCAGTCCTTGTTCTACCCATTAATGCCGAGCGGCAGGCAGAGACCAACAAGTACCATATTTTAACGTCTTTTGGTATGACGCGGTCGGGGATCGTACCAGCGACCTTTCGCTCTCCGGGCGGACGCTCTAACCACTACACCACGGAGGCGGTTAGCTGACAAGGTAAGGATGTCATCTGTGGGATGACTCCACGCCCTGTTACAACTATATATTGATAAACTTGTAAACTTAGTAAATTAAAAATGCAATTATTAACTACATCACGTTGCTTTCCTGGACTTTTACGTACTGAGGTCCGGTTAGCAGGTGCATTAGTTTCAACTTGGGAATCAACACGGAACAACATTAAGATCTCAATATAAGCAAAATGGTAACAAGCATGTTTGAGAAGGTTTGAGATGTATTTACATCTAAAATGTGAAAAATAGGTTTCACATGCATCATTTTCAATTTATATTTACCAAGAACACCATTTTATATATTTGTTTGGTTCTGAATCGGTATTTTATGAAACTGGCTCATCCACAACATAATTTCTCGGATCATCGATAAAAAGAATTTCCATTTGTTTATCTTGTACTTGAAGTTATAGGATTCCCAAAAGAACCATTTCTGTAAACGAGGTGTAGAGTCAACATAATTTAATCAACACCAGGGATATATATTCTTTCGTAGTCTCAAATCTAGCAGAATGTTGACGAAGACGTGTTGATGTGAAAGGGATGTGTTTTTCTGGTTTCAGAAGGAGATATTGTGTCCACGTGTTTGCCTCGAGTGGTCGATGATGTTGAGTACGTTTTTAGGAGGTTGACGTCGATTTCGTGAATTTCCTTCGGGCTCTTAGTGGGTGATGGGATATTTTCATTATTGAACGGATACGTATATCAATATTCTCACTTGGGGATTTCAGGGTGGCATTGCTTGACATTGTGTGTCACCCTACCCTGGAAGTTTTCATCGATGCTCATAATATCAATCACTTGATTGTCTAATCCATAAGCAAATTAGCAACCATCTACTACTTTAATAAATATATAAACACATTCGCGTAAATATTCATACTTCTTGTACAGAAACCGGACTGACTAGGCACTCGGCAGCAATACTCAGTTGTTGCATTTGGTGATGGAGACTTACCGCCAGTCTAAGTTTGTTTGTTTGTCGTTTAAGGTAGCATTCTGCAATATTCCATCTATATGGCGGATGTTTGTATATAATTGAGTCTGGACAAGACAATCCAGTGAGCAAATCGATCTACGCAGTTGGGACACGATGACATGTGTCAACCAAGTCAGCGAGTCTGACCACCCGATCCCGTTAGTCGCATCTTGCGACAAGCATGGGTTGCTGGAGACCAATTCTAACCCGCATCTTCACGGTTGCCAATCTGTGTAAGCCAACTATTGTTTATATCGTATGGTGTGGCACACTGCATCTCCAGGCCAAGCATTGTTCAGTAACCTCATTTCGGGCTTTGCGATAACTGACTCTTCATACAATAGAGTCTATCAGTGGGTCCACAACAGCATCTCTGGGGCGATGGTCAGCCCACCTGCCTCGCCACTGCCCGAGGGTCACATCCCAACCGACACAAAGCATTCTAGATTTATCATCAGTCAGCCTACAGTATACAACACCTCATCCCCATTTTTAGCTACCGTGGTCAACCGGCCATACAGGTTAATTACACATTGCTGACCTCACATGACTGACAGATAGTGCTGCTGACCATCATGACAATAGTCAAGCTGCTGTTATGTCATTAGTATTGACAGCGCTGTGCAGATTTAGGTGTACAACTTCAACGTCTCGGGGAATATATGAATATGTATATATATACACATACACATACTGCCTGTTAAATGCCATATCCCGGTTAAGTGCGTACAGTACTACGCTAACTTCTGAATCAATTTCCGTTCTCAAAATGCCCGCCCTTGATGTCCATTTGCCAGCTGATGGTCAGAACTACTAGGTCTAACGTCTCAATCGCTCGTAACCAACTCGTGTTAATCCGGAACCAGCCGAATCTTTTGCAGGTTACGGAAAGGAGCGACTGTTCCCGAATGCAGTCTGAATGATGGATTGGCAATATGAGCAGCATGGCGTCAAGTAATACTAATTATAACGGAGTTCGAAATTCAGCACTGACAAACATCCTACAGGCACAACCATTAAAACTGTCAGTGGCCTTGCATTCTAGGCAATAAAAGCTATTTCCCTTCACCTTTGATTTGGTTGGCTGTTCGGTCCATAAAATCTTAAATGAATTTGGGAGGATGAACCATGGGAGAATAAAACTTGGGTTGGTGTAGGTTTAGCAAAACACGAGTCCTGGAGTTCGTATATCACAGGGTACTGAATACCTTTACACCGGCAGGGAGAGCATGCCTGCTCATATGTCAACCGAGGTCCCGTTCGGATATAGAGCGACAGAAATAAGGTCGAGATGGATAAGCCAGGTGAGATAATGCTTACTGTCTATACAATGCTACACTGGACTCACTGGTTGTATATTATGAAATCTGAAATTTGGAGAGTTAAACTAAAGTTTGTCTTCACTAATATAACATATATATACATCGCTAGATATACAATTATCTAGACTGGGAGACAGATGTGGAGTCTGATACGCTGCTGGCGAGTCAAGTCGACAGTGTGCATTACATTAACCATGGCGTAAAGCTATGTTGTCGCCAACTTGTCAGATGGAAATAATTCGTGCCTACCGAGAGCTGTTAAAGCTACTGCCATCACAATATATACATATATGACGTGCTTTTTAGAGTATCATTCCTTTCTAAGATTTATGGACCATTCAAAAACGTCTTCTGAAGGAGATCACAATCCTATCAGTGTTTCGAGCGTGCACCTCATTACAGTCCGTCCGCCTGAGGAGGGCCCCCACATACAGTTAACGCGTATCTATCAGTTCTGTTTTACCTACGTAACCTCCAGTGATGCCTGCTGGAAATGTTGAAACATGGCTTGTGGTTGTCAGGTGTATAATGGGACAAGCTTCCAGGTACCTGCTGTATCGCCAGTGTATTCGTTGTAGGTTTATGATTGTGCTCAGTCAATATAATATTTTCCAATATATGTATATTATCACATATCTGACAACATGTGTGAGTTGTATCCAGCCAGTGAGTATTATTTACGGCCGCTGTTAGCAACATTAAAAATATCGCCAAACTTTGTGGAAGTCACTTCATGAGGTCGACCATGGTCCTTTTATGGGCTCATTCTTTTATGTTGAATATATTTATATTTGAGTTCTTCCTGGTTAAGGGGAGGTGGGACAGCCCAGTGGTTAAAGCTCGTCACGCTGAAGACCTGGGTTTGATTCCCCACATGTGTGAAGTCCATTTCTGTTGTCCCCGTGATATTGCTGGAATATTGCTAAAAGCGGCTTAAAACCATGCTCACTCACTCACTCTTCCTGGTTAATCTTCTGAAATGTTTGTGCGGGATAAAAACATGGACTGAATTTTGAAGCTTTAATTTCTTTGTGTTTGGTGTATAAGGCCCATACAATTGGAACACTTACTATATATAACCACTCACAGATAATAAATCACAATGTTGCATAATGGTCAATTTCATGTTGAAGTGTGTGTCACAGCTGGCCTCCCTACACTTCGGAAAACGTGTGCTAATGTAATCATATCATGTATCGTGTGAACTAGTCACTAGCTATAACATTCCCTTCACCGATCTGGCTACAACAGAATATTAGAAATGACCTGTAAAAGTTATTGAAGGAACCTGCCAATCAATCTCCCTTGTCATTCGAAGCAATCAATCTGCCCTACTGCAAGCGAAGAATATGAGTAAATAATAGAAGACAGGAGTACAGGATTATAGTTTTAATGCCCTGAGTATATCACCCACAGATTCTTTTTACTAATTGTTGTCATTTTGAGAATCGGGCTCTAGCCTTACTAATAGGGCTGCGCAATATAACCGGTTTACCGGTATTTACCGGTTCAGACATGAAAACGATACGTATTGCGATACGCTGATCGAAAACCGGTATTTTGACATGCATTCGGAAAACTTCGTAACGCTCGGAAATCTTCGGATATTTCCGTTTTTTTAATTGTTTTTTCCCCTGTTTCATTAGTGCCAAATCTAACTTAAATTTTTATTTTGTCATGATTAAAAGTTTTTATAAAATATTAATCAATCATAGTGATTTTGTTGTGTTTTTGCTTTATAATCAAGCATTAACTCGATTTTGTTAAAATAATAATCCTTATTGCAATATATTGCAATACATATCGCAATATATGCTTCCGCATCGCAATATATCGCAATATGAAAATTCTCTGCAATACCCACCCCTACTTACTAACTCGACTAACTTGTGACTACCACTACACTACCCAACTGTTATCAAGTCCTGGTGACTCCGGGGGTTTACGAGAGGCTATCGAAACGTTTTGAGCCTAAAATACTTCTGATATGTGCATGATAAAAATAACTGTATGATATTGAAGAATGGTTTATATCATTCACATAAACGTAATATTAACATGCACATGTCGCTAGTTTCCGGTCACGTGACATCTAATCACATGTACCCCTATAGAAACGGCAGAAATGGATAAGAGTACAGAATACAGAGAAGTCATGAAGTTTATGGTCCTCGGGGCCACCCCTGTACATTGGAGAGCGATTGACAGCAGTACGAGTACACCATGAGACTCAGTACTTGTACTGCTGTCAATCGCTCCATCATGCATTTTCTTATGTACATCAAACATGTATAAATTTCATTATGTTGAATCAAGATACCATTGTAGCAAAGAAACGTCTCTATCCTGCTTAATATAATATTCTAATTCCACATCTTTTTGGATGAAATATACATCAAACTACACAAGAAGTGATGCGTGATGGCCAATGGTTTCTGTCATAGCTTTGCGACAATCCGCACTGACAAGCCGTTTCAATATCAGACAGATACTGGTGTTGATTCCACTTCCGTGGGTTATTTTAGGCCGTATTCATTAGCTGTCACGTTTGACACTACCAAACCACAAACATGTTGCCATGATGTGTTACAAAAATATGGGGGTGAGGTGAGGTGAAGTAAAGTTGGGTATAACGTCGTGCTTGAGAATATTTCGCTCATATGACGACGTGCATGCGTGTGTATGTGCGGCTTCTTGTACCAGCCCAGACTGAAGCTGGTTTTATAGTGCTTGCCCACTGAGATACCATGCTGCAGTGAAGCATAAATAACCCACTCAAACACATTATACTGACTCCGAGCCGACTAGTCCTTGTTGTACACATTAATGCCGAGCGCCAGGCAGGGACCAACAAGTACCATATTCTAACGTCTTTTGGTATGACGCGGCCGGGGATCGAACCCGCGACCTTCCGCTCTCCGGGTGGACGCTCTTACCACACCACCACATATGAGGAGAGTAGTGTATCAATGAACTGTGAAGCATTTACGATGAAAATGCACTGATGTATTTCTTTATATCCAGAGAAAGACGCATCCCCACCTAATGAAGCCGAACTTGTCGAACCGCGAGATGACGTCTCGAAGGGAGAGAACTCTGCGTACCAGCAAGGCTGTCTACAGAAGTACACGTCCGCCCGATGGGTGCTAGCCTACCAAGCTTGTCTTGCCTATCTGTTCTACATGGCACTACCGCACGCTATGGGCTTCGCTATAGTGTGTATGACGACACAAGGCAAAGGTCACCATGCCAACACGTCCGACAGTTTCAACATGTCGAACTCGAGTTATAGCTCAGTGAATGTAAGTTATGCTACATTTTCGTTTGGCTTGTCAGTCACATCAGTAGAATGGGCGTTTATACGCTTTGTTACAGAAACCATGACGGGACGCAAGAATCAATGTAACTATTATCAGAGTTTTGACATTGATATACACATGTAAAAAATATCCAATAGTTTTCTTAGTATCCATATGTTACCATTAACTACAGAAGAGGAACTTATCCAAACTACAATTAAACTTATTATCTGAATAAATTGACCCTCAAGGAATAATTACAAGGCAAATCTTACCCTCCAAAAGAATTCAGAGAAGCAAACATTGACTGTATCATATGTTGATTTTGCTATGAGGTATTGGGTTCCATTCTTGATGGAGGGTTTGTACCGAAGGTATTTTGAGACTCAAAATGTTCCTCACATTCTGTATGGGATTGAAACCTGGACCTCTGGATGTGGATGGCTTTGTCGTCCATGAAGACTGGCCTTTTGTCTAGTGGAAATGTGGTACAACAACCCTGTCTAGAATGTCAGTGATGTACTGTAGTCCATCCAATGTCTGATCGCCACAAGGTTAAGTTTGCAATCATGTGAGAGGCGCCTCAAATCATCAATGAACCCTTGCCAAACGTTATTTGTCCAAAGATATTTCGTTGTGCATATGCAGTGTTTCCGTTGCGCCAAACATCGGCTTGAGCTCGACAGCTCTATGGTGGTTAAAAATCATGGGTGTTACGATACTATTTTCCATGTGTAGACTCCTTTTCGTAATTATTCTCTAGGGTCAAGGAGGCAGATAAAATCTGTACCGTGCCACATAACACAAAACATGTACGTGTTTTCGTTTCAGATGCCAGAGTTTCAATGGGACAGTACAACGCAGGGTTTAGTGCTCTCGTCAAATTTCTTTTTAGCTTCCTTGTCACCTCTGATAGGTGGCGCCCTCTGCCACAGATTCGGTGGCAAGATGGTGGTGTTGATTACCTCCTTCATCTGCGGGGTCTGCAGCCTATTAACCCCTCTGGCGGCTAGAACACACCTGGTCTTCCTCATCGTTGCAAAAGTACTGCAGGGATTCTGTGGGGTAAGATCTCTACTCTGTCTTGCTAAGGAAACATACATTGTACATTAAAAGAAAAGCTAAATAACCAACTTAAATGGGTAAGGAATATCAATGTAGATATATCAGAACAACTCTGGAAAGTCTTTTACTTTGTACCTTTCAGAACAACTTGTAATACACAATTCAGGTGGCTTCAATATAAAATTGTCCAAAGAATCATTACAACACACAAGGACTTATTTAACTATAAACTGGCACAATCTGCTTCTTGTACATTTTGTAATGTTAAAATCGATTCAGTTATTGACATATTTTGTGAGTGTAAACATATGAAAACGTTGAGGCTACAATAAAAGCTTGGATTGAACAAGATACAGGCACAAGATTAATTCTGGATGCAAAACATACCATCTCTGGATTTATAGAAAAACGAAAGGACGTATTAAACCTGACTATCATCGTAACAAAATACTACATATCTGCAAAGAGATGTTCTAATTCGTATCCACAGTTTGTTGGATTAAAGATTACCTACACACAAATGTACTGCCTTTTCGCACTGTAACTACAGTAAATTCTTCACCTTTTGGTCTTCTTACCATAACCTCTTCACATAAATTACAATAACAATGTGTTCTTCTAACCTTGTATCACCCTACGGATTATCTACCACCCGTGTCCATACTTTGTATATATTACATGTACCACAAACACGACAATTATGTACCCATCATAAAGAAATAAAGTGATACAAAAAGAGTTCAGACAATTCTTCCGGTCAATACCCGGCACTTTCCGTAACCTGCAGGAAGCTTTCGATGAAGGTTACGTGCGAAGATACGGCAAAACAAAACGCGCGTATGCTTCAAACACTTCGGTCAAGTAAATTAAATCGTTTAGGAATAACTTATGATTTTACATACATCTTGTATTGGAAAGTATACCCAAGATACTGTTAATCGTGTTGAGTCTTACCGTGTATCAACTTTTTTAAAAAACACAATGTATCATATATGGGACGAAATAAACTTGACAATGTAAACAAATGTTAGAGCTAGGCCCGCTTAGGGTCAGACAAAACGCAATCACAAAGATGGGGCGCGAGTTATTCGGCTAGTCGCACGTGATTGTAAGAATGTTTGGTCATAGTCATTGTGGGGTAAGATTTCATTCCACATCGGGCGTATCTCCATGACAGTCTATGTACATGTTTACTCACCGCCAATAGAAACGCGAAATTCATCAATATCTACTGTGACGTAAATCGACAGTGTTGAAGAGGTTTCTGATATGTAATTGATTCCATGAATACCGTTTTTCACGGCAAAAGAAAAATGTTTACCACAAACGCAGCATACGTGACGTCACACATCATTTAAAATGTGAATTCGATGGTTGCCCGTGCGGAGATAGATCGTTGCATTCTTTGCATGATGTCCTTGCTCTTGCGATACTACTTAAGGAACGGGTACTGCTAAACTTCTGCATTCGCATTTTCATGCAGCAGTGAGCATGCCACGTTTAACTGCAAACGAACGTCAGAGAGCAATAGGGAATATTGAGGCAGGTTGGAGCATCCAACGCGTCGCCATGCATTATGGAACACATCAGTCCACCATCTACAGACTGCTTGACCGCTACCAGCAGACAAACACCGTCGCTGACTACCCTCGTAGCGGACTTCCACGTGTAACGTCATACCGATGAGACCGCTACATTGTGAACTCTCATTTGCGAAATCGCTTCATACCAACTACCACAACAGCTCGTAACACCTTAGGAAGACACAACAGACACATCAGCGAAAATACAGTACGTCGCCATCTCACTCTGGCTGGTTTACGTTGCCGTCGACCATACGTTGGTTCACGTTTGACGCCACGACATTGACGTGCCCGACTGAACTGGGCAGCAGTCCATCGCAACTGCGCAATGGACAGTGGCAGAACATCGTCTTCTCAGATGAAAGTCGCTTTTGCATCGATACCGCAGATGGCAGAGTGAGGATATGGCGTCGTCAAGGTGAAAGATTCTCAGAACCCTGTGTTTTGGGGAGAGATCGTTGGGGAGGGCCTTCCCTCGTGTTTTGGGGGGCCATAAGCTGGTGGCGTCATGTTCAACATGTAATCTTTCAGAACAATGGGCAAGGTCGTGGTAGGGGCGTTACTGCGCAGCGCTACATCGACGAAGTGTTGAGACCAGTAATTCGTCCATGTTTTGCTCAAAGACGTCATCTTGTTTTTCAGCAAGATAACGCGAGAGCGCACACAGCAAGACTGACACAGACATTCCTCCAGAACAACAACATCAAGACGATGGATTGCCAGCTCTAAGCCCGGATTTGAATCCCATCGAACACCTCTGGGATGAGATTGAAAGACTAATTCACCAACAGCGAGTACGTCCAGTTAACTTGCAGCAACTGCAACGGAGTGTTGTTGACGCTTACAACAACATTCCCAGGAGGTTCACTCGACTTCTCTTCAACAGCATTGGGAGGAGATGTGCAGCTGTTGCTGATGCCAATGGAGGTCACACCCGTTTTTGACGTTAACGTTTGTTTCCCTGTAAAGGACAATTCTTTAAGGCATGCGTTATGTGGTTTCCATATTGATTTATTGGATTGTCATGTCATGTGGAGAATAAACACACTAAGTGCTTTCTATCGAGTTCTCGTTGCCTTTCGTAATAGTGAAGTTAGTTGAGAAGACGCCATGTTTTCACTCATTGTCAGTATCATCATGTCACACAATTCGCGTTTCTTATCATATTTATGAATGTAGTTTGGGCCAGTGGCCTATTACTGAATAAAATGTCTGTCTGTCTGTCTGTCTGTCTGTCTGTCTGTCTGTCTGTGTGTCTGAATGTTGTCACAATGGCACCAGCCAAATGCCACCGGTTTTGGAAATGAAACAGATACAAGCAAAAGTAATAAAAGATATATTCTGGCATATTCTGATACGCTTATTCTGACAATATCTGTCCTTTTTTTTTTTAAAAATATTCTGTATTCCACTTTTCAAACTCACCTTTTTTTAAACGACTTTACAGTCCCTTTGCTGTATCGCCTTATTTGGAGTCAGGAAATTAAAAAAAAATCAATCATAAAAAAATATTTGGTTTGGGGTAGGTCACCTGTAACCTATGCGTTGTCAGGCACAATTACTTGATTGATGGTCATCTTACCTCAACGTTATTCTGCGTTGCTCATGACGTTGATCATCGGTTCATTTGGTAAGCTCCTAGATGCTTTAAACGATCTTAGCCATCGAAGATTATAGTTATCTGTCGTAGACTGCATATTTTCGAAGCACAATAGCCCAAGATGAAACATTTTCACACATCACCTGTCGTACGTTTATGTTATTTTCATCCAAAACGACTGCATACTGCGACATATTATTTTCTGCTTTCATTTCAATATTGACATTTCATTTCGCTGACCTATGCGATGCAAATTGTCCTTTCTATTTCACGAGGAATGATCGAATAATTTATCCTGTTTAATCGAGATATCGATCCATAGCCTAACCATTTGTTCCTAGGCTATTCTAGACAACGTGTGATACAACACACCTTTCGTTAATCTGGGAAGGATAAAAACAGACTTTACAACAGGATATGGTATTAATAGTGGCATTGTTATTCAGAGGCACCTGCGGTTGTTTATACAACTGTTGGGAGTGGCCACGGACAGTGAGTTGTACCAGCTCAATCATTTACGTCGATGAGTTTGCCATTATTTTAGAGAATTTTCCAAATAGTAATTTACATATGGGACAAAGTGCAAAACCATAAGCCTTTCTCATCAGTTGCTGAACGAACTTACGGCCAGTCATGGCATGTAAGTGGTGTTTGTACTGTGTGTATACTGTCACATGCCATACTTGTCATATACATATACTATACCCCCATTACATGTGCAGTCAAGAGGCTCGTGTTTTCACTCTTTTTGTATTTGCCACTGAAAAAAGGGTTCTGGTCATGTATCACTTTCTGTATATAGCATTGTTGTGCTTGTACGATGTGTTCTGCATTGGATTTGTTTGAACAATTGTTTTTATATGTACGCAATGTTATGTCATTTTAAAAACATTTGTGGTACAGTTTCTGTTTCATTTGGCCTTCGGTTTACATCAGTAAACTCTTTGAAGGACCCGTGAAGATCCGGGTTAGAATTGGTCTTCAGTAACCTATACTTGTCGTAAGAGGTGACTAACGGGATCGGGTGGTCAGGCTCGATGACTTGGTTGACACATGTTATCGGTTCCCAATTGCGTATGTCCATGCTCATGCTGTTGATCACTGGATTGTCTGGTCTAGAATCGATTATTTAGAGACCTCCACCATATAGCTGGAATATTGCTGAGTGCGGCGTTATACAGAAACCAACCAATTAGCTGTTTATCACCTTGGACGTTGACGCAATGACTATAGGAAACACAATAATTATTTATTTGTCCCAACAGAACATGATCTTTCCAGCAACAAATGACCTCTGGTCAAGGTGGACCCCTGGGGGAGAAAAAGTACAACTAGTTTCCGTCGGATTTTCAGGTAATGTATCGACAGTCAATTCCATCGCAAAAGTGTGCCAGAATGTATCTCTCGTGTTTCCAGGCTGCACATAGTTTTCAGCACTAGCTATTTATTTGGCGATAAGCTTAGCCTACAATGGACTTCTTCACTATGTGTCCCTGAAACCGAGCTGAATTGAATTTGGAACAAACCGTGCTTACGTTAATCTCCATTCTACCTCGCCCTAATTGAATCATAGATGTGAATATCCGGGCTAGAACATCATTTTGGGATCGGGTGGTAAGGCTCATTGACTTGGTTGACACACGTCTTCGTATTCCAGTTTCGCAGATCCATGCTCATGCTGTACATCACTGGATTGTTTGGTCCATACTCGTTTGTTTACAGACCGCCGTCATATAGCTGGAACATTGCTGAGTGCGGCTTTTAAACAAAAAACAAACTCACCGAAGATATTAAGTAAATCAGCATGGGTCAGTCCCATGTTAAACAATGGGTGCTCGATTTGAAATAGCAAAGCACCGATAATTGTTGATGATTACTTTCAACGTATTTACGCAATGGGCAAACGTCGGTTGATTTATATCCTTATGTTATTTTCGCATACATTGCAGGTACAGTGATAGTAACAGATATACGTTTGATCCTCTCGTTATTTAACAGGGCTCAAATTGGATACAGGATTTGGTTCAGTTTTGGAACGTATGTTTATATAAATACCCACTTATACATTCAACTCTGTTATATTCGCTGTATGATTAAGGTATATAAGCCCAGTGGCCTTCATACTTAGATATAGTTTCTGATTGGCAGAACTGAGTTGGGACAAAGGGATTTATGTTTTGTATCGTGACTGTATATTGCATGTTCTTCAATGTTATTTAAGGGTTTATCTCCCTTGAGCCATTGGTCTATTGAAATATGACAATGTCCACTGCAATGGCTCGTGATTTTGTAAATAGATCAATGTGCAGAGGACGTAGTCGGTGACAGCAGTCTGGGCTTATCGTTGTCGTCGTTGTTGTGTTGCAGGTGGAACGCTGTCCCAGATAGTGTTGTTCACGATGTCCGGCTTTCTGTGTACCCTGCCTTTTGATAACGGCTGGCCATTAATCTTTTATGTATTAGGTAAGCTGATCAGGGCGAGAATTCGTCTTCAGTAACCCATGCTTGTCGTAAGAGGCGACTAACGGGATCGGTAGGTCAGGCTCACTGACTTGGTTGACATCTGTCATATACATCCCAATTGCGTAGATCGATGTCCAGCTGTTGATCAGCGGATTGTCTAGTCCAGACTCGATCATTTACAGACCGCCGCCATATAGCTGGAATATTGCTGAGTGCGGCGTTAAACAGCCAACCAACCAACCAACCAATCAACCAACCAATCAACCAACCATTCTTTCATCTAGGCACGTAGTTGTGTCCCTTAGTTCCTTAGTAATTGTGGAGGAATGAAATGTTTTTTTGAGATATAAATTTTGAATCCTCTTTATCCTACATTTGGAGGGCTGTCAGCATCATTCCAGTGATCGTGGAATTTACCAAAGTGGTAACAGTTTGAGACATGTATCATTAAAACTCAGCTCACTCGGGATGAATCTTATTGACTTTCTGTTTGAAGCTGTTCTTATTGCCAGGTTGTGAGAAGGTCAATGTCTGTTCTACCTGTAGGTGGCGCATGCTTGGTGTGGTGTGGCGTGTGGTGTCTGACGGTGTTTGACTCTCCCGATGTTCATCCGAGGATTTCAAGTGAAGAGAGACAGTACATCAATAACACTCGAGTTGGTGTGGTCAAACGTCGCGTATGTATGTGACACGTATCATTAAAACTTACGGATTGAGTGTTAAAATATTTTATAATTTTTAAGTCTGAAATTAATTAGATGTATATCCATAGACTCTTGTAACAAATTATATTTGAAAAAAATGTCGAAGCAAATATTGAATTATATAAATTAGGTCTGAAGATCAGTGATGTGTCAGCGTAACGTGTTCATTCCCAAGTTGAACCTCGAAAGTTAACCAGGAATCAGACCGTTAGAGAGTGAGTGACTGACTTTAGTTTTACGCCGCACTCAGCTATATGGCGGCGGCAGTCCGTAAAAGAACTAACTGTGAAATTAATAAAAAACAAAAACAAATGTGATGTAATTTAATATTGTATTCTGAACTAAATTTACAAATTAAAAAATGTTTACACATTAATACACATCACTACAAAGGTGTTCCAGTGGCAGTACAAGTTCAAAGGTAATATAATACAGGAGCAGTTATTATGGAAATAAAGGCAATGAGTGTAATATTCACTTTTCAGCAACAGTAATCCAACTTGCAACTAGGCAGGGTATCCAGGGTATCCAGGGTGTAATGGTCATTGCACATATAACCTGAGATATAACTTGAGATGAGAAGCAAGATTTAACTCCCCTTATATACCTAAGAATAAGATGCCAGACAGCTCTCTAAGCCAGATCATTCTGGAATCTGTTCTGTGTAGCACTTTCCAGATCTTAGTGTCAACACCTGTGCCCCTAACAGTTGAAACATTGTTACACAACGTATAACACTGCCATATGACGGACAACAAGTTTGATAGTGGCCTAACGATTTATCGCCAAATTGCTTTCACCGATTGCCTTCACATAATGTATCGCAAATCAATCCTTCTCAAAACGTTGTTTAAGGGACGTCACGTGTTTTGTAGAGTCTATCTGTGATGTCATAAGTTTATGAAATACCAAATATAAATCCCGCAACAGAATGAAACGAGATGGCAGTTTGGACATATTTCAGTTGATATCCAACTGTATCAATTTGAGAAAATATCCCAAAGTCAAAGAAGTCTAAAGGGATCTTAAAGGAACTAATCTCGTCAGGGTAGAGCCCTGGCTAAATTGTTTTCCCCCCGTAATATTCAATCCGAAAGATGCTAAGACTGTACAACGTCGCTGCTACATCCTAGTTGCACTCAGGTTCTAGTATCGCGATCAAAATGATTTTGCATATGAATTGTTCCTATGGTTTCATAAGTGATTCCCGATGGTTAATTCTGATTCAAATACCAACTGACAACAGCAATGCCATTGTTGTTTTAACTCTGAAAGTGCTGACCTTTCAGATTTGCATCCTTATCCGCATATGACCCCAACGCACAAAGTGTTTTGCCTTGGTTCTCCTGCTGAGAGACCTGCCTATTTTCATATCTTTCACACTAGTTTAAATATGTGAAAATCAAATCCTACCTTTCACAAAAACAAACCAAAAACATATGTACCTAAGATAGCGAACTTAAAGGGGATTGGCTTGAAGTTCATACGCGTGATATTATGATAGTTAAAAACAACTCTGACAGCAAAAAGACTTCAACGATAAACAAACAAAAATATTTACGCCTTGGATAGCAAAGACGAAAAGGGATTGGCACCATTATTCGATTCCAAGTACATAATGCACTCTTTATTCAATACCTACTATGTTTCGTCATATCAACTGTTAAAACGCTATGGAATAACCAATTTCTATTACACTGATTCCATTGGACGTACAAGTCAAAAGAATAGTGGAAAATATGATGAGTGACACCAGGAGTCGCATGTCTTTGGGGTCGTGGGTAGTCCAGTGGTTGAAGCGTTTGCTCGAAGACCCGGGTCAATTCCCTAAATGGGTCATTGTGTGAGGCCCATTTCTGGTGTTCCCCTCCGTGATATGGATGGAATATTGCTAAAAGCGCCGTAAAACTGAACTCACTCACTCACTCGAATGTCCTTATCTAATAATATCATCGCCATTCACACCTAAAAATGACAACACATATCTCGCCGTATCTCTGATGTGGTCACACCTAATTATACCTCCGTCATCATTTCAATAAAAGAAGATGACACAACATGACAAAATACCTTTTACTTAAAATAATTCTGTTCCTATCTTCCTTGCATGGATTGACGTAGAGTTATTTTTCAAGACTCATTTCAGAACCCAGATAGATGTGAAGTTGGTATATAATATTCTTCTGATGCAAGAATGATAAGGTGAGCTTCCGTACCTTCTTGTACTTCTTTTGGCATTACAGGATGAAAAGATCCCGTGGCGAGCGATAGCCACGTCACCAGTTTGTTACACAATCATGCTGGTCATGTTCGCGCACCAATACACAATGGTAACTCTCGCGGCCTTCGTTCCCACCTACATGAACAGCGCCCTCAAGTACAGCATCCCAGAGGTACGTTCAGGTACTGGCCCCTATTCCTTCCCAGCTCCCCGAGGGAGACTTAATCTGTGTTCCCATTCAAATGGAAACTGATAATAAAATGTCAAGGACTGTTTGTGTGAGGGGCTTTCCAAAGGCAGGCAGGTCATACGCCACTTAGGACATCATCAAAGGGGAGCATTATAAGGTCTCTGTAATTTGAAGTAAGTACTATCATGTGATCTGAAAACCTAAGACTATAAATAAGTTACATATGCCTTCCGTTTGGCCATGTGCAATGCAAGTTTTTGTAGTTCATCCATTAGCGTCTGTTTCGTTAATGAAGCATACGGCTTTATAGATGTCAACTTCTTGTTTATTGCACACAGTGGCGTTTCGGTGTAGATTCTTACACCATTATCGGGGGGTGGGGTAGCCTAGTGGTTTAGCGTTCGCTTGTCACTCCGAAGACCCGGGTTCGACTGCCTACATGGGTACAAAGCCCATTTCTGGTGTTCCCCGCCGTGATGTTGCTGGAATATTGCTAAAATCAGCGTAAAACTACACTCACTCACTCAAGTCTGCTTGTTTTTCAGACTGGTGTCATGTCGGCGGTACCTTACATTGGCCGCTTCGTATCTTCGTATTTTTGGGGTTTCTTGTCAGACAAGCTTCGGTTCTATCTGTCTGTTACCAGTGTCAGGAAACTCGTTCAAATTGTTGGTAGGTGACGGCTAATGTTCCACCGACAAGACCATTGTATTTTCCGAAAACAAGTCTCCCCAGAAAAGTAAAAATGTCGCAGTTATTCATGCCGTTTTATCAAATTCTGTGCGAAATACGTTCATCAGTGCTATGTGAAAGACATATTTTCTTTATCTTTTCATACATAAAAGTCTTTTTGAAGTACAACCCCGTTCCGTATAGATACTTCACGCCTCACTCCCAGCCATATCAAACAAATTAGAAAAAGACGACTCTACATGTTTAAATGAATTGTTTTGTTTAACGTCGCACTCAACAATCGCCAAGGTAAGTGACGGCGGTCTGTAAATAATCTTGACCATACGAATACAGTGATTGACAATACATCACTATCCCCGAACTGATGTTACTTCTGTGCAGGGTTCGGCGTGGCTGGCACTCTGACTTGTGGACTGGGTTACGTGACTGAAGACACGAGGCTGGCAGCAGTCTGTGTCCTGACGGTCATCATGTTCTGCCATTCCTCAACGTTGTCATCCAGTGCACAGCTTCCTCTAGACATAGCTCCACAGTAGGTTTCCGCTACTGATGAAAGGTTTCGGGTCAACGAAGGACTGTTATGTGTCTTCAAATACGTTACCGAGCTGCTTTGTATCCCTTCATAAAGGTCCAAGGTTAAGTCTTGTCGTTTCATGAAGTGTATTTGTCTAGTTGCCACCCGTAGGCTTCATAGCGTCTTATTTCCACATAAAGCTATGTCAGGTCCTCCTCTCCCTACCTTGAAGGCTACATGTTGCATGAAGGCTACATGGTCCCTGCATGAAGCCTGCAGGACGTGTCGTCTTTCAGTATATACACTCACGTGCAAAAGAAACGTCCCCAAGTATGTTTCAACTACACACGCACAAACACGAATAGATATGAACGTTTAATATGCATAACGAAGGTGTATGTAAAGCATGTCTGACAAAAGAAAGAGAACGTGGTAAACCTAACATTGGAACAGGGAATGTTGTCACATGGGGGTCGATTGTCCAGTATTCGGGCGCAAGCCAAAACAACAAATGACAAAACAGAGGTTGAAATGGGACTGCCAATACCGCGCATGTCCACCCCTTACATCGGTGCACGTCAGAACACGTCGTCGGGCCGATCACGTGACTGGGGATCCGACGCAATTCTGTCTGTAATGCCTGAGCCAGTGCATTTCCCGTCAATGGAGGGTGTGGAAGCTGTAGAATCCGGCGTCCAAGATGGCCCCACAAGTGCTCTGTCGGGGACATGTCAGAGGATCTTCGTGGCCAAGGCTGTACGGGCACATGTTGACGTTGAAAAAGGCCGTTGTGACAAAAGCGGTGTGAGGTGTTCTATTGTCTTGTTCAAACAAGGTTCCTGGATATTGCTGGAGGAAGGCAGGATATGGGGGCCGCAGAACTTCATCAGTAGACCGACGGATTGTCAGCCTGCCATTGATGATAACAAGGTCGGTCTTGGTGTTCCCACATGCTACCCCAAACCGTCACACTCCCTCTACCATATGGTTCCGTTTCCTGAACGCAACAATGTGCCGTCCGTTCCCCACGCCGGTGGTAGACACGTCTTCGGTCGTCAGTTCTGTTCAAATGGAACCTACTCTCGACGCTGAAAAGGACCCGTTGCTGGTTCCGTTGTTGCCACTGACGAACATTCCTAGCCAAAACCAATCTTCGTTATTCTGGCGGTAACGTCATGCCCCTCAACGGCCTGCAGGCTCCGATTTCCATGCTGACGTTGTCGTCTGGACTCTGTCCACCTGCTTACGCGATGACCAAGGCTAAGCACTGATGATGACGTCACGACGAGGAATATGTTGCTTAAATGAAGCGTCCGTATATAACGGTTCTCTTGTGGGGTAGTGACTTCCGGTCCACCGCTCCTCGGCCTGTCTGCTGTCAGGCCAGGTTGTCTGTAACGTGTGACCAATGTCCCAATCGTTCTTTTTGCACAACCCAGGATTCTCCCAACATGGTCGTGCGTTGCCCCAAGCTGCAACATGCCAATCGGTCTTTCTCTCTTTTCTGCTGTTAATCGAGGCATGTTCTGCTGGTTTTTCAGATGATTGTGATTGCAAAGAACAGTTTCCAACGTGTTTTTTAACCGATCTCCATACTGGTGATTTCCCAAACGTGCAGGAATTTTCACTAAATAGAGTCATTTTCCCCGCTTCTGGCATGCAACACGTGCATTTCCTTGGGGTGTCATACATTTGTGTGTTTGGGCAATGTGTTCCGAACTGTTTTTCATGTTTTTGGCCATATCCAGCAAATGTAATATAACTTAACTTTTGGGGACGTTTCTTTTGCACGTGAGTGTACTCTTTAAGAAAGTAGGGAAACTTCACACAATGTAAGTCCAGAAGCTCTCAGCACTGTGGCCACTTTCTGACAAAGGATTTGACAAAAATATACATGCAGTTGTCATGAATATATGATGAGGATGAAAAAATGAAAAACATTTTTTTCGAAAAATCAAAATTTAAACCAGCTCGCCAATGGGCCGAAGTTTTTATTCCGGAGTTCAGTTTGTAGAACCCGCTGTTCCGTATAAAGGCTACTTCAAGTCTTTTGTCTTCTTGGAGGCAACATGATGTTTTGTCCTCCGCATGAAGACTACATGACCACGTCATTTCAATGCGTAGTCAAATAACGTTGTGTTCCCTGTGAATGCTGCAATGGCTTTTTTTCGGTACAAAGGCTCCAGATTTCAAATTATTTTGAGTAAACGTTGGCAATACGGTATATTATTACAAAGCGATGTTAAACAGGAAGAAACTGTCATCTCGTTCAGTATTTGTAAGGGATAGGATATCAAAGTTGGGGAATCGTTCAACTCTGAATTCACTAATCAACGGTATTATGAGATTCTTGGGTAGACGTATGAACTTTGCTTTCTTCAATGATCTCCTGTTTTTACAGGTTTGCATCGATACTCACAGGGCTGATGTTTGGTGTGGGCAACCTTGGCGCCACTGTGTCTCCACTAATCACCGCATACATCATCACTGACGTAAGTATGGATATAGGGTAAGGCTGTGAGGTTGGGGGATGGTCATATCAACTACCAACAGAATACGCTGACAGTGTGCGAAATAGTTTCCATATTTTGCTAGCCAGTTGGGCTAGCTATGCCTGAAAGTTACTAGCCCACAAAATAATTCACTAGCCCAAAATTTAAATGTACATGTAGAAACTAAAGCAAACGATTACCAAAATAGATGAGAATAAGATATTGTCGGCATCAATAAGCTGCTAATATGATGAACATTACTATCAGGCCATAATCTTGCATGATTTAAAAGTGTTATAACTAAACAAGTCGGAGAGAGTGATATATTTACAAAATGGCTCCATGAAAATTCACTAGCCAGTCGGGCCAGTGACAGTGGAGATTTACTGGCCATGGGCTAGCGGGCCAGTGGCTATTTCGCTCAATGGACGGTGATAATCGGAGCACATCCGAACCATACGTGTAGACAAATCGTCCTGGTTACAAAGACAAGTGTTGCATACAGATGGTCAAGATTGACCTTATGCTGGACATACTAAATGTAAGGCGTAACGCAGTGGTTTGGGTTGGTTGATGTTCAACGTCACCCCCAACAATATTCCAGCTATATGGCGGCGGTCTGTAAATAATCGAGTATGGACCAGACAAGCCAGTGATCAACAGTATGAGCATCGGTCTACGCAATTGGGATACGATGACGTGTGTCAACCAAAGTCACTGACCCTGACCCGATCCGTTATTTACCTCTTACGAGCGTAACACAGTGATCACGGTCCCCATTTCTTTTTCCCGTGGCTGGCTAACCGCGCGGGACGTACCTGAAACACGTGTTGGTTTTAGTGCAACACTTCAACCTTAGCTGTTGTACAGTTACTCCCTTGTGCAGTTATGGTGGTATACGGGCGGTGGGGTAGCCTAATGGTAAAAGCGTTCGCTCGTCACGCCGAAGACCCGGGTTCGATTCCCAATGGGTACAATGAGTGAAGCCCATATCTGGTGGACCCGCCGTGATATTGCTGGAATATTGCTAAAAGCGGTGTAAAAAATAAACATACGCACTCACACACACACACTCTGATGGTATACAAATGTTAATGTCACAGGTGAGTTCAATTTAAAATTAGTTTTACAACAACAAAAGACAATACAATTTGTCAAACAGTGTTTGAAGCTCGTCAAAATTGGTTTTTTGAAATAGGCATCCACTTGCATATCGTACATCTTAACTAAAATACGTATCCACTTATATATCGTACATCTTAACTAAAATACGTATCCACTTATATATCGTACATCTTAACTAAAATACGTATCCACTTATATATCGTACATCTTAACTATCCAAATATCGTACATCCATTTATATATCGTACATCTTAACTAAAATACGTATCCACTTATATATCGTACATCTTAACTAAAATACGTATCCACTTATATATCGTACATCTTAACTAAAATAAGTATCCACTTATATATCGTACATCTTAACTAAAATAAGTATCCACTTATATATCGTACATCTTAACTAAAATAAGTATCCACTTTTATATCGTACATCTTAACTAAAATTAGTATCCTCTTATATATCGTACATCCTAACTAAAATAAGTATCCACTTATATATCGTACATCTTAACTAAAATACGTATCCACTTATATATCGTACATCTCAACTGGTACATGCAGTCTTTCAGGACCTATCACTTCCTGCCTGTAACTTCTTGAACGATTAATGTCATGTTTTGTAGTGATGTCACCAAGACCTGTTTCCTTGATCTTACCATGTCATATCTTCTTTGGACGCCTATCTATGATGATAGATGTATTTTCAAACTCATTAGTTCATTTGCGGCAATATCTTTTCAGAGAACCATGGATCAATGGCGGACGCTATTCTTCCTTAATATGGGCATATTCTTAGCTGCCAGCGTTGCATTTCTTGTGTTTGCAAGCGGAGATATACAACCATGGGCAGATAACACTGTTCAAAGGGATCAAGAGTTGACAGAAAAGCAACCACTAAAGCAGGGAGCGGAAATTACATTGAACTGAACAAGGAGCAAGTGTGACTCTGTTGATATAGATACGACGTTACGACTTCTTCCAACAATATGACACACCCTCGAGGCAAATCTACGTTTCGTTGCATGTGTTTTGTTGATGACAAGGCATTGGAAGCTGTCGGTATCGATCTTCACAGAACAATGCAAGCCAGATGATCAGAAGGAACGGAAATCGTCAACTGCTATTTGAACCTTTCCCCGAAAGACATATAATTCAATTTCAAGAAAGCAACTTGAAAAGTTTTTATGTCTTTGAATAAATTATCCATACGTCACCTCTTTTGAACAAGCAACAGTACGAACAAAATGACGTCATCAAGGTATACACATCCAAGCCCTCAGAGAGCATCAAAACGTTCGCCGCTGAAGTTATTTTTTGTTAGGAATTAAGCCGGATATAAGGTATTCCATAAGTAATAAAACAAACTCAAAACTTACTCTTTAGTTTGAAGCTTAGAGTTATATGAACCAATGAAATATTGGATAAAGTTGGTAACCTTTGTGTATGTCACAGGACTAATTATGGTGTGCATTTATTTTTAACCTGATTGGAATGGTGTGATTGAGTGAGTTTGGCGCGGCTTTTAGCAATATTCTAGCAATATCACGGCCTGGAATATTAGAGTGAGTGAGTATGATTTTAAGCCGCTTTTAGCAATATTCCAGCAATATCACAGCGGGAAACACCGGTAATGGGCTTCACACATTTTGGGGAATCGAACCCGGATCTTCCGCGTGACGAGAGAACGCTGATTGGAATGAAGAGGGTGGAAGACATTTGACCACTTGTGTAAGAGGCAACTTGTCTCGTTTGTCGAGACATGATCACAAAATAACGACATCGTCAGTTTATCATTCAACTGTAAACAGAAATACATTTTTTTGGTCAAATGGTCAAATACAAGAATTCCAGTGTATCGGGATTGGTATAAGAAATAATCAGATATACATCATAGGCTCTAAGGCACAGTATGCGAGGGTATTACATTTTGTAATAACAAAATTTAAGTTCAGTTTTATGAATATGTGAGTGCATTTAGTTTTACGCCGCCTTAAACACCATATTTGCAGAACTACGTCTGTGTCTGAGTCGTGGAAGGCATGTAATAGAAGCATGAGGAATTTTGAATATGAAAACGAAAACATGTGAAGAGCCTTTAGTCAAAGATGTCCCCCATCCCCACTAGAAGATGTGCTTCAGTTTCAGAATAGAAATGATGGTGGGCGAGCCCAGAAAGTGGGCAGGATCCCAGCCCAGACGCTAAAGAACAAGTTGTCATATCTGTTATTTCTAAAGCACGGTTGTCCGATCTAAGGGTGACTGAAGCAGAACAGGAAATGTCAAAAGAAGGGGTGTCTGAAGCTTATCCAGCTTCCCGAATATATCACAGAAGCGCGTACTCTAGGTATAAAGACTGGGCGACACGTGACTGTACGGCGGCAACGATACTATGAGAGAGAGAGAGAGAGAGAGAGAGAGAGAGAGAGAGAGAGAGAGAGAGAGAGAGAGAGAGAGAGAGAGAGAGAGAGAGAGAGAGAGAGAGAGAGAGAGAGAGAGAGAGAGAGAGAGAGAGAGAGAGAGAGAGAGGGAGGGGGGGGGTTAAAGTAAGGACAGAAAGAAGACATGTTAAAACAGCCAACCGTATTTGTCAAAACATTTCCATTATCTTCACCAAATATATACTTTTCAACATGATAATGGAGCTTTATAATTTTTAGGAGATAAAGCTTTATCCATTTTCTGAATGAATCGCCATAATTGAATGATTCTCGTGCTTTATCGATAAAATCACATTCAATGGTATCAAACGTTTTCTCAAAGTCAACAGAGACTGATAGACCGTGTACATGTATCTTATTAACTTCACAATGATTCATTAAATCGTAAAGTAGTCTGGTATTTTTAGAAATCCAGTTTGAGTTTCACTTATACTATCTGGTAAAACTTGCTTTATTCGACTGGCGATTACTCCTGATGCTATCTTATAGTCAACATTGAGAAGTGTTATAGGGCGCCAATTTTTCAGGTATCGACGATCGCGACTGTCTTTTGGTATACAAGTAATAATGCCTTGTCTTTGAAATGTCGAAAATGTTTCGTGCTCGTAGGCATAACGGATTGATCGTATCAAAGGTGATTTTATATCTTTCAAAAGAATTTGTAAAATTCTACAGTGAATCCATCAGAGCCTGGACTATTTTCATTCTCCATGTTTTATAAAACAGTAGAGCATTCTCCAGGATTTATATTGCCTTCACCAAGCTCTCTTTGAACATCTGACAACACGTCTTTGAAAATATTTAGGTTATCGGTCCAGTTCGGATCATGATTTGAACAATATTACGGTTTATAGATTTTTTCTCATTCTTTTAGACCTCTAATTTTCATCTTCAACAATTCGAAAAAGGATTGATCATTTATAGTATCTTTTACATCTTCCAAATTTGATGAATCACCAGTTTCGTAGCATTCATCAACCGTTTGCACAATGACATCTTTAACATCTTTTACGCGCTGAGTATAACGTAGGAGCGAAGAATTTAATTTTCAATAGCCTGGAACTCGTTCCACTGGTTTCAAGGATAGCTCTAATGAAATATAAGAGTGGTCAGATTTATAGGTTATTCCTATAGAACGCCTTTTAACTATCGACAAAAGGTCTTCTGATATAAGGGAGTAATCTAGTCTACTTCGTTTATTAAGGTATTTTTGTCTCCAGGTGAACTGTATTTTATCAGGGTTAAAGAATCGCCATGGATCGACGAGTTCTAATTTCTCTTACATTTCTTTATGGCATTATTGCCTTATAAATTGTTTTTATGTTCATAATTGAATGTATCAAGGGTATAGTCTTGGATCCTGTACCAATCCCCAGCAAGAATTGGGCTTCCTGGGAGTTGAACTAATTCTGATACGAAATTCTTTGTGAAGAAGTCGGGTGTGTCGGGATTCGGACCGTAAAGATTCACGATAGACAGATGCAACTTTCTATATTGATATCCAAGATAATGAAACGACCATATTTATCGCTTATGATTTCATGAAGATGATGCTTAAAGTTGTTTTTGATTAATATCATAACGCCCGGACTATGACTTGTACCATGAGAAAACTATGCGCGAAATCTGCCGCCATGGTTTGTTCATTGTTAGAAGTATAATTGACGATTTTTTAATTTTAAGGAAACAAGTCTCTTCTCTTCACCACATCTGATTGGAGACCCCAAGCATTCATTGAAATAATTGTAAAGTCAGCCATTTAAAATATACTCAGATGTTGAAATTGTAAAGGGCTTATTTGGAAAGGTAATGTAAATGCGTGGTGGATGGTGAATGTTCAATGTCTCATTCAAGAAATGGGTAAAAGTAAGTACAGTGTAGCTGCTGCAATGATAGTTTGAGAGGGTGAAAATTAAAAATATTAGTATACCTTTTACAGTATAAATATACACCGACAGTGTCTTTTTTCAAGTCAAGAAAAGTCCTTTAATCTTTAAAGGGAGAGAACTTGTACAGATGAAGACTGGCATCACGACATTCGTGACCCACTCGTGTTATTCCGGGACAAGCGGAGGTTACGGAAAGGGCCGAGTGGTGACGAATGGCATCACGAATCTAAATTCTGCTCTGAAACGTTCATAGCATATCAAATTGGGAAATATAATAATCCTTTTAAGAACAGAATAAGTCAATCAGTTTCGAACCATTTAAGCAAAATACACGTGTATGTGATGTCTTGAATAGCGTCGTTGTAATATTTGGTGTCTTATGTGGTAGATACTTCACAACGATGGAGAGTACTGTTACCGAAAATATCAGTACAGCATAGTACAACACTTTACAATCATGTAGATCTCACAGTTACACAGACATGTTTCACAGTTAACGGTTAAGGGTAGCATCAATGTCGTCATGGGGATAGAGCTTGAATTTCTTCCCTTGTTTGTTTTGGCCATAGACACGACCGTTGAAATACCATGCGTTATCAATAAGTTGATGTGCGTTGAGCCGGTTGATCAGCAACACATTTGCTTTTGTGACATCGTCAGGCAGAGGGAGTGGGCGATTTTCTTGGAGTTGTTTTCTGACTCTCATTACTCGCATCTTCACCCCGATAAATACAGGCTTTAGCTACACTTGGCAATTACAAGAATCCATTGGCTGGTAAATAATGTTAAAACTGTACTCGTTGATCAGTTTCTACAAACTTGGAGAGAAAGTAAATCACAATCATCGAAAGGCCTATATTACAATATGTTTAAGGATAAGCTTTATATTGAAACTTATTTGTTGCAACTTCCTCTAGATTTACGTATTTATACTACAAAACTTAGAACTTGTAACCACAGACTCCCTATTGAAACTGGTAGATGGCATAAAATTGATAAAGAAAATAGATTGTGTACATCATGCAAGAGTAAAATTGGGGATGAATTTCACTTTATGTTTGAATGCAAAGAGTTAAACGAATTACGAAACAAATATCTCCCTCCATATTATTGTAAACATCCCACTGTGGATAAATATATTTCACTTATGTCTATCACATACAAACCAATACTTGTTAAACTTTCTCGTTTTGTGAAATGGGGCTTCATAGGAAGCGGAGCTATAGAATTTAGATGCGAAAACGTTCTGAGACTTGTCGCCGCACGGAGAACACAGAGCTGACCCTTTACCTCACGAGAGATGTCGTAAACATTTTCTGGGGAAGTGTTAATTAAGTCACTTTTTTCACAAAAACTTCTATTTGGACGTGTTGCAGATGTTGTGAACTTATATCTAGACAGTGAGTGAGTGAGTTTAGTTTTACGCCGCACTCAGCAATATTCCAGCTATATGGTGGCGGTCTGTAAATAATCGAGTCAACATGTGTCAACCAAGTCAGCGAGCCTGACCACCCGATCCCGTTAGTCGCCTCTTACGACAAGCATCGGTTACTGAAGATCAATATTCTAACCCTGACCTTCACAGGAAAACTTTCAGTTGTTCATCTTCTTTCTGGAGTTATTTGGAGGTTTTCTGAGAGCCCGATGCAAACACCTCTCACATGTCGCCAACGAAGGGAGGTATGAGAGTAGAGATATAAACAGCATATTACCTGATCAAGAACCATGAGATGGAAACGTGTAAAATACATCACATTTCGTCACTCCTAGGGCATGTTATAGTCTCTTATACATCGCTGAGCGATTTGTCAATTAAACGTTTACTCTCTATATCATTATGTTTCACACTTCTGACTCTTCATCACTAACAGTTCCCATGATGAAATCACCATGGCAACGTCAACACCTGTGTAGTGCAAAACAACAGCAACTCAAGGATTGTGAAAACAATATTGATTTTGATACTTTTATTCCGATTAGTGTCGAATATCCACTTAAACAGTGAAACATGAAAATATTCGATAATATTTTAAACAAGACAGCTTTCGAAAACACTGACAGGGAAAACAGTCATACTTTTAAAGTTGGATGTGTTGTTTATCGTTATTAATAATAATAAATTAATTTATACACATTTTTTGTCGATAAACAACAGCAAGATGTGATTAAAATAGAAGCTACAAGGCAATCGAAAGTCATATCGTAAAAAGGTGGTTCCACGCACGAACTGGTGCCAACATGAAGCCCAGTGAAGAGCCGGTCTGGAATTGGTGTTCAGAAACCCATGCTTGTCATAAGAGGCAACCAGTGGGATCGGGTGGCCAGGATCGTTTACTTGTTTATGAATGATTACTTGTTTATGCATGATACTGTGTCACATTTGTCCAGGTCGATTGTCATGGTGTGGTTGGAAGTTGTTTAACGCCGCACTCAGCAATATTCCTACTATATGTCGGCGGTCTATAAATAACAAACTCTGAACCAGACAATCCAGTGATCAACAGCATGCACATCCATCCAGGCAATTGGGATGCGATGACATCAACCAAGTGAGCGAGCCTGTCCACCTGATCCTGTTAGTCGCTTCATACGACAAGAATGGGTTACTGAAGATCAACTCTAAGCTGAATCTTCACGGGGAGACAAACATGGGTTGCTGAAGATCAATTCTAACCCGGATCGTCACGGGTGCGCTTGTTATGACGCCCGTTATTTGACTGTCCAGTTTTATTTGCTCACTGACCTTCGTGTGTCTGGAATATTCGGCGTATAAAAACACCTAAACAAACAAACAAACTAATAAAGCGACACGTATATCTGTATGTAGACTAGAACGCCTACTATTAGTACAGTATGTATTGTCACTGTGATATTCTGTAGAAGGTCCCCCTGTCTCGGTCTCTTTGCACTACAAAATATTCTTAGAAAGGCCTTTGTCCAAGTCCCAAGGGATAGTCCAGAGAGTGTTACTGTGGCCATGGGGCATTCTTACAAAGTCCTCCTGTCCCAAGGAAATTCCATACAAATCCCCTTTGTTTCAGTGATATTCTTACAAAGTTCCAAAGAAATTCTATAATAGGGCTCTTTGTCTCAGACATATTCTTACAAAGCCCCCCCTGTCCTATGAAAAATTCCAGGGAAATTCCAAAGTTCCAGTCCTAAGGATATTGTTCCCGGGTATAAACTACAAAGTCCCCTGTCCCAAGAATATTCCATAAAAGGGCTCTGTGCCCTAGGGATATTCTTACAAGGTCCCACTGTCCCAAGGATATTCCATTGAAGGGCTCTTTGTCTCGGGGATATTCCCCTGAGTTACTTCTACAATTGTCGGATTGTGAAACTTAGAATTCCGCTTTGAATCTTTGAAATATCGGTGACGAGGATAGTGTTTCTGTTTCAGTTGACGTTGATTCCAGTCTTTCAACATCCATTGACACCATACTGTGACCTTGGAAGCCTTAACTGTTCTGAAGAAGTGCTTCGAACATTCGCGCCTTCCTCCACTGAAGGCCGCCTGTGGTCCCCACCAACGCCGAAGTTCACTCAAGATCTTGATACATATTCATAGAGTACCAACGTCATGTACAACAAAGCAATCTCAGCACAAACGTCATCTCGACATCCCATACGCTATCACTGACTTTAGTGACTTATGATAGTCGTAGAGCTAAGGACGCTCCTTGGAACGGGGCCCCATTCACAGGCCCTCGTGTCTTTGCAAGGTTATAAGATTTTTTAAAAATATACAAAAAAATTGAGATGACCCCCAACTCGAAATGCTTCACAGTACAATACGTCATGATGTATTGTAACGTGAAGCTTTTTGAGTCGGGGGTCATCTCAAAACAATAATTTGTTTCATCTTTCATCCTCACAAAGACACGAGGGCCTGTGGCCCCACTGCGCACAGTGATTCAGGCGTTTGCTTTCAGCTTTACTAAAGCGTTTGGCGTCAGGCAGTTGACATAATATAACATATTACATATACATGTATACACATATAACATATGACACATGACATGTAATCTCCCTGCACTTCATGGAATCCGACTTATGCCAATTGGATCCGATCATTGATCAATGTTCAGCTCATGGCTGATGCAGTCGTTGAAGATATTCCCCTGTTCAATGCCCCACTATTTTGCTGCAGATCGTGTCAGGTGTTGTTCGTAATGTATCTCACATAATAGACGTGTCCATCTTCTCAGAGGTAAAGGCGACTCTGCCGGTGTAAACACCATCCTTGTTGATACCAGATCTAGGCATACTTGGACTGAAACAGCATCACAAAACCATCAAATACAAAATTTCCAAATGCATAAATATATATGCATAATATGACTTAGAAATGACACTAGATCTATGTACTGTCTCTACAAGCTACACAACGATGCTGCGATAATCTTATCACAGAATATAGTTCCCCTTTTATTACCGTACAAAGGTTCCTTCCTTGATTTTAAACATGCCGTGAGATGGAACAACTAACAATCACTCTTGACAGGTCCGAGATTAAGGCAACAGTTCGATTCATAGGCTTCTTAATCATGTTTGATGCTCATGCTGTTGATCACTGGTTTGTCTGGTCCAGACTCGATTATTTACAGACCACCGCCATATAGCTGGAATATTGCTGAGTGCCGCTTAACAAACCAACCAACCATCATGTTAATCATCTCTTTGTTAATTTGTATTAGTTTAATGCCCATCCCAATAGTGTTGTAGTCTTACCGTGGAGGGTACGGGTAAACGCGTTTTTCATTTCTGATGAATAGTCGTTTGGCCTTCTGTCGTAGTGTTGAGTTTGTCAAGAAATATAGGAAGGGGTTCATCATACAGGAAGCCTTTGCAAAGAATGTTGGGAAGGTCGTGACCCAACTTGGCAGATCCTTGTCATACACTGACCAAAGGCAGACAAGGGTGTATGGGGACCAGAGTACAATGAAGGTCACATTTATCAGAAATGCGTTCTGAAACAGAAAACCCCATTAATATTTCATTAAACTGACATTTGGTGGTGCTTAAAAAGTAATGCTAAGTAAATCAGGGTATTACGTCAATCTATACCATAGAAAGTGTGGCACAACGTTGACGTTAAACCTGTCATCGATGTATTGTCACCTGACCATTGGATATCACAATGCGCATCAATTCTTCAATATGAAATTTACATGATGTACACATTTACCATTGGACGAGAGATCGGTCCGCTAAACTGACATTCGTAAGAGAATGAACGATACATTTTGACGTTCATTCATTTTTCACGGGACTTTAGTTTTGAAACAGTAAAAGGGCTACTGTCACATTCCAGGAACTCTTTGTCTCGAACCGATCTATTCACGAAGCTACAGTGGTTCTATTTAGTAAAAAGTGGTTAACATAACAATACGGACGTCTTCATACGAGTGCTGGGAATTGGTTAAAAGCTCATAATTGATGATTGGTTCATTACAACCGATCAATCATCGAAAATAATTGGTTAGCGTCATTTATGAAATTTTCCTGATTATATTTGTTAATGGACAAAAGTAATAAAGAAAAAACCCATGTAGTTCTTTGGTGTTTTTGCAAATTGCACAAAATGCATTTGCAAATTTCACATCTTTCAAGGATGACTGAGCGCCACTGAGCATCTCTATGGTGGATATTAGGCGCTTTATAAATACATTATTATTATTATTATTATTATCTTTCAAGGATGACTAGTAGGTCAGGAACATTAATTTCTTGGAGTCTTTAAGATAAATTCAATCATGACTTGGAACGAGCTTGTAGTGGTCATAAAATGTAACAGACAAAACCAACCTTGTGAAAAATATTGTCAATGCAAACAAGTGTTCCAAAATTGTTTGTGTACGTTTATGAGAAAACATGATCGATTGCTTGGTTGTTTAGTCACTGCGACCAACCTTCGATTATTTCAATTAATCGGACCGCCACTACTTCATACTCACAAAAGTGACTCTCTTCTCCTTTCGCATATTGAAGGTTCGCATGACCTCCCCGGTGTGCGGATTGCATATTGTTGCTGGGGGCAGCATGCCTTCCACTTGGCGGACTTTCTTACATATGCTGCTGTAGCAGTAGATCATGATGACAGTGTGGATGAGGAAACAGAAGATGATGAGGCACCAAATGTACGCCAAAGCCTTGGGGTCAGAATTGCTCCAGTCGATGGAGCAGGATGTCCCGAAGGGTTCAAAGGTGTATGAGCTCCAGCCAATCAGAGGTGGTGTTGTCCATAGCAAGGTGTAGGCCCACGTAAAGACAATGGTGCACTTGGTCAATTCGTGGTTCAAACAGTATGCTGAGAAGTATAAAGAAATCATAATTAAGATGGATTAACAAATGAGCAGGTATTTCCAAGAAACAGCTGCAATACTGCTTTTTCGGCTTTAATAAAAATCTATTTTTAAGATATATGACGTTTTGATATTGAATGCATGGACTGCATGCTGCACAAATCTTTGGAAAACAATGCAGCCACATCAAAACGAGCCGTTACATGGGACCCCTTTTCGTGTTAATGGTTTAAACCGCTGTAACCATTGGACAACAAGTTGTTAATTGTTTTAACACATTTTCCATTACTGTATTTGATACACCTTAGTGTTGCAATGCTGTGATGTGGCATCTTAAAGTGAACATACCGTATTGGGGGAAGCAGATGGTTATGTAGCGGAATATGCTCAGACATGCCAGAGTGTTCATATCGGTCTGCGCCAAGGTGAACGTCATGAACCCCTGTATAGAGCAAAACACCTCCCCAAAGAGGTAGCGTTTGGCATAGTTAGATGCCACAGTCCAGGGGTAGCCGAACAGAGAGATGCCAATATCGGAGATGGCCAAATTGACCAGCAGCATGTTTTGGGGCTTCTTCAAGAGGTCTTTGTCCCTGAGAAAAGTGGCCAATACGACGCTGTTGCCCACGGTCGATATTACACCTGCAGATACACATACCAAATGGTAAACGAAGCAAGAAACTGTTGCAATATTTATTAAAATCCAATGCTGGAACAAATAGTCTGTTTTTAAAAAAAATGATTGGGATCAAAGTTTCTATTAAAACATATATTTGGCAATGCAGATTCATTTGGAAAAAGTCATCAGTCTATCTTCATCCCTTTGATCCTCCCCCATTTAATGATGTCAACAAACTGTAATCCTGATAGAAAACATGCCGCCACGGCGACAAAACAGTTCATGTCTCCAACAGAGGTTTAGAACACCCACATTCATTATATAAGTCACAGCAACTTTTGTTGGGAGCAAAAAAATAGCGGGGGTATATAACGTTCATTCCGTCCGTCCGTCCTTCCGTCTTTCCGTCCCGAAACTTTGTTCGAAGCATATCTCTTACAGTTTACATACTAGGTTCACCACACTTCACACACAATTAACCACACGACTTAGTGCAAAATGTGTTTGATGGTTTTCTTGTCCAGAGCATATCACCGAAACTATACATGCTGGGTTCACCAAACTTAATACATAATTTAATCATGAGAGTCAGTGACATTCTTCACCAACGTCCACTTCATTGTGTGCAATATGAGACAGTCAAGTTCAATGGTATGTCAGGTTTACACAGAAAACAGAAAAAATAGTATTTTACATAAATTATTAATGTAATCAGTAAATGGCAAAACTATTATCTAACAGATGTATATATAATGTTTGGTGGAGTCAAGGAGAAAGTCCAGTACATAGATCAATATCAGTCATTTCCATGTCCCAAAGAGGGAGGCGGGGGTCTGTGAGCTGTGCCCGCTTCCACACTTGTTTACAACAGTAAGGCCAAAATAGTTAATTCTTTCAACCAAACGTCGATGTGTTGTTCAATTTCACCGTGATCATGTTCCTGTTCAGACCAGTCGCTCTTCACAGAAGTCCATTGAGAAAGGTCATTGAAACCCAAATGATGTCTTAAAATCTAGTCAACATTTGGTTTAGTACATGCAATTGCATAAACTGAGGAATATTTTTCTAACATTTGAAACACGTATTTTCCTTCAAAAAAGGATAAGAAAACCCAACACAACCCAGTGCATCAATCCCCTCCATTGCCTAACTGAAATACCAGACTTCCATTTTTGTGGAAGCCGCGCTGGCTGAGTACTAATGGGACTTCCTGTCCTGGCGATTAGGTGCCCCTCTCTGATGGGACTTTTGTGACCCAAGAAGCTCTAGAATCTGTGCCCTTCATCAGTGAAACAAGTTAAAATACTATTTATGGTTTTATGCTGACATGTTTTATTTGATATGAAATGCCACAAATCGTGTTTGGTCAGGACTCTTGCATGAGATCATTCCTTTCTTACCTGACGGTTGCGATGGTGACCATCGCCATTGTATGCTCAAAAGACTGTAGCCCTTCAATATGTGTTATATTACAGCCTATATCTGTATGGTACACTCACCTACGATTGTCAAGTAAATAGCTGATGCTAGGTATTCATTATCCTCGAGAGGCTTGATGTTGTGTACAGCAACAATCCTTTTCCATTCTAAAGGCCCTTGGACAGCCGAGACGCTTGGAATGCCAGCCATCTTCAAGTCTTCCGAAGGTTCAAAGGAATGGATAGCCACTGTAGATATCGAATGTGACGTCCGTTGTGACGGTTTGAACAGATGCACGATGTTTATGGCAGATGAAGAATGAAACGGACCAAGATAATGCAGTACCGGAAGTGACGTGGCACTCATCAGTGTGAAACAGCCCAACTCTGGACGAGTCAATTCAGTCATGTGATCAACAAGATGGATTTCAACAACAGTTAGCGCTTATTGATAACTCTATTGCCATGGAAAAGCATGGAGGTGAAGTGACAGACAGTTAGGTGTTGAATTGTTAGATTTGCATTTCTCCTTATCTTGACGTGTTGGTTGAGCTGAAGTGAAGTTAAAGGGGGTTAAAGTCGCTTTAAAATATTTTAACTCGTATATATGTGGCTGTTTATGCTAGTCCGACGTTACTCTGATTTTATGTTACCAGCTCTGGGACAGGCATACCGTAGTTCATCGTGGATACAACACTCGTACACATTATACTGACACAGTGAGTGTTCAGTTTTACGGCGGTTGTAGCAATATTCCAACAGTATCACAACGCAGGACAGCAGAAATAGGCGTCATACCCATTCAGGGAGTCAAAACCACTCCTTTATCTGAGTCTGAATGCGCACACATTTTACCCTGATACCTCACAGTGATTCTTTTAATGCGATACTTTTGTTTGTATTAGTCACAAATCCCTTCCCCCTGCTCCAAATATTAAAGAGGCCATCGCTAAATAAAACACAAAATATGACAAACGATGTAGATGTTCTTGACATTTATTTGCGTACACTGACTACAATCATGTTGAAATACAACATGTAAACATACCCCACCCTCATCCTTCAAGTACATGCCACAAGGAGTAAATAGTTATGTTATTGTTTGTTTTATTTAACGCAGCACACAGCAATATTCCAGCTATATGGCGGCGGCTTGTATATAAGTGAACGAATATGGTGCTTGCTCCTCAAAGGTTCTGTAAGCGTGGAGGCTGATGGTATTAAGTGTTTCACTACAACACTATCATTGTGACCACATTGTCCTTAAACATGTTGATGAGACGACTGATGCAAATGCAAAGGCTTCATTTAACAACATTAAGATGAATGATACTGAACAATGGGGCTATAGTTTTGTAATGGATGACATCAATTGCGTTGACAGTTTGTCTTCGTGTGATTCGTGAATTATCGCTAGCTGCGATTTGTCCCCTGGTCTCTCAATCTCGAAAGCAGAATTTATATGTCCATTTTTTGGTATTCATCGACCGGCACACATTTTCACTGGTTTTGTTTTCTTGATTGCTTCCGGTTTGGGATGATCCATCACACGGGATTTCGGAAGGGTCTTCGCCAATCTCCGGATCTGTCTCCGTATCACTTCCGGTCTGAGCTTCGGGCACGGCCCATGGCTGAAGCTCACCACTCCCAAGAAACACAAAAGCGGTGACGCCGACAACGTAGACGCCTGCGATGATGAAGAAAACAATCCTCCATTCCTCCAGGGTGTCCTATGTCACACAGATCAGGATACAACAAGGGTAAGGCGTGAACAACATAAATATAAATATACTTCGGCGTATTTTCATGATACAAACTGTGAGCTAAGTATGGGTGATGTTGTTTTGTAAACATGCTGCAGTTATTCCTGTCATTTAATGCAGTAAATTCACGGATTTTCAAATAAAAGTTATACTCAAGCCAATAATGGTTGTCACCCCACTCCCCACCCCAAGCCCACACACCCCTCTCCAATAAAAAAAATTGAAGGGGGTGACAACCATTATTGGCATGAGTATATATACAAAATAAACCTGATGTAAAAACAAATACGTGAGACGAGACTTACGTTTGGTGTCAGGTAAGCTGCAGCCATTGGTCCAAACATAGACATGAAGGATCCAATCACCATATAAGCTCCCGTGATGATGCCAGCATATCTGAAGTGAGTGAGTGAGTGAGTGAGTGAGTGAGAGTACAATCCAGTTATATGTTACATACCTAAAAAATAATAATTATCCTTGAAGGAGGAATTTTGCTATAAAATCAACTGTACCACTACATAGACTAACTACAGGGAATGGAGGTAGCAAATGTCCCTGACCTTGGAGCGATATCCAGGGGAGTGACCGACGAGGAGGACATGGAGGAAGACTGACAGAACATTGCGAGGAGGAAGAGGGCGACGGCTATTTCTCTCTGTTGTTCGTCGACCATGCCGATACCCACTGTGAAGACACCACAGACAAGGAAACCTGAAACACGCAGCAAACATACAGGTAAACACAGGTAAACGCAGGTAAACACAGGTAAACTCAGGTAAACACAGGTAAACACAGTCAGTTAGACAGAGGTAAGCACTGAGGTTTGTCATGGGAGTAAGTTTCGAAGCTGATACGGAAATGAGGTTTCATCTTAAGTACCTGTGGGGTCAATCCCAGAAAATCATGAAATTTACCCCACGTGAATATCCGGGCACTCCTCAGCATGACGTTAGAGGCGACAAAATGGTCAGACTCACATAATTGGTGTATGTTATCGTTTCTCATTTTGGTTCATCGCTGTTCTGATTATCTGATCAAGACTCGATTATTTACAGACGTCCGTAATATTGTTGGAACATATTTAAGTGTGGCATTCAACAACCATATATAATCAAATTTGAGTTTTACTCCAAAGTGAGTGAGTGAGTGAGTGTTATATGTTACATACCTAAAAAATAATAATTATCCTTGAAGGAGGAATTTTGCTATAAAATCAACTGTACCACTACATAGACTAACTACAGGGAATGGAGGTAGCAAATGTCCCTGACCTTGGAGCGATATCCAGGGGAGTGACCGACGAGGAGGACATGGAGGAAGACTGACAGAACATTGCGAGGAGGAAGAGGGCGACGGCTATTTCTCTCTGTTGTTCGTCGACCATGCCGATACCCACTGTGAAGACACCACAGACAAGGAAACCTGAAACACGCAGCTAAACATACAGGTAAACACAGGTAAACGCAGGTAAACACAGGTAAACTCAGGTAAACACAGGTAAACACAGTCAGTTAGACAGAGGTAAGCACTGAGGTTTGTCATGGGAGTAAGTTTCGAAGCTGATACGGAAATGAGGTTTCATCTTAAGTACCTGTGGGGTCAATCCCAGAAAATCATGAAATTTACCCCACGTGAATATCCGGGCACTCCTCAGCATGACGTTAGAGGCGACAAAATGGTCAGACTCACATAATTGGTGTATGTTATCGTTTCTCATTTTGGTTCATCGCTGTTCTGATTATCTGATCAAGACTCGATTATTTACAGACGTCCGTAATATTGTTGGAACATATTTAAGTGTGGCATTCAACAACCATATATAATCAAATTTGAGTTTTACTCCAAAGTGAGTGAGTGAGTGAGTTTTGTTTTACGCCGCTTTTAGCAATATTCCAGCAATATCACGGCGGGGGGACACCAGAAATGGATTTCACACATTGTGCCCATGTGGGGAATCGAACCCGGGTCCTCGGCGTGACGAGCGGACGCTTTAACCACTGGGCTACTCCACCGCCCCTTTTATGGTTTTAGCGTTAATGGTAGGGTATGGAATGACGGTTTCTGGTTACCTGAAGACTGGACTATTTTTCGGATCCATGTGACGCTGAGGGACGATTTCCTCAGTAGTAGATCTGACAGGTATCCCCACGCCATCACTCCGACGAATCTGGTGGCGAACGGAGCTGAGGAGATGATGGCGTTCTGCGGAGAATCAAACGTAGATCCATATATATATCTTAACCAATCCCTGTCATAACAATTGATTCGGTGCTTTGTGTGAAATGAATCATGGATGTTTAGAACACAAAATAAACGGACATACAATAGATAGAACATACCTGTTTTGGGAGGAATATTTTCCAAAAAACAAAAACAAAACAACGTTGATATTTTGATATAATATAATGTTCTGAAGTTCTAATTGTGACTTAAAACTTACAAACTTGGCACATATTATTCTTTACAGTGTTGGGATTTCATGCAAGGGATATCATGACAATAATGAGTTGGCTTAATCCCACCTGGTGTATACTTTCTTTTTTACGTCAGTTGATGCCCGTCTCAATTGTTTATAGGATTTCACAATAAATCCTCTTTGTGAAACATAAAGAAAACAAACCAGAACATTTTTAATCTGTGTTCGAGATGCACGTGGAATATGTGTTATGTTAGTGATCGTGAAGATCCGGGTTAGAATTGGTCTTCGGCAACACATGCTTGACGTAAAAGGCAACTAACGGGATCGGGTGGTCAGGCTCGCCTACTTGGTTGACACATGCCATCGTATCACAGTTGCATAAATCGATGCTAATACTGTTGATCACTGGGTTGTCTGGTCCAGACTCGATTATTTACAAACCGCCGCCATGTAGCTGGAATATTGCTGAGTGCGACGTTAAACAACAAACCAACAAAAACAATATGTAGTGCAAGGCGTGGTACAATTTCGTAAGGGTACTTAGCGAATATACAAAATGTTTCAGTCCATTATTGAAATGCAGGAGTTAGTACGGTACCCCTAAACATCCGCACGTAAAGTATACACAAGCACATTCAGTACTGGAACGGAACGTAAGGGGCTATGAACCGAGAAGTAAGCAAATAACATTCTTGTTACATGGGTTGTGTAGACATCTAGCGACGATACCATAACACTGCAACACACTCACGGGCGAACCATTGCTATCATGTGTACTATCAATGTGTTAGGTTGGGCCTAGATTTCTAAAAAAATACCATGAAGGAGATACTGACTGACTGACTGACTGAGTTTGGTTTTACGCCGCTTTTAGCAATATTCCAGCAACATCACGGCGGGGGACACCAGAAATGGACTTCACACATTGTACCCATGTGGGGATTCGAACCCGGGTCTTCGGCCTGACGAGCCAACGCCTTAACCATTAGGCTACCCCACCGTCCCCCATGAAGGAGATACAGTTGTGTCAACAGACTGGTGATGATGAAATATTGCTGCACGAAGACCATATCTCTTGGACGATGTACGACCATGGTAACTAAATGTCAGTATATTTACACTGTCTTTGGGTCAAGGCATGGTGATGCTCAGCAGGTTTCCTATGGGGGCTAGTCTATGGGAGAGTGTGGGCTCGTACCTGTTCGATGGAGTAGTGGAGGACGTCACTCATGTACTTAGGGAGGTAGGCGAAGAAGATGCTCGAGCACCACATGTGACAGGTTTGGACGATGATGAACGCCCACACCGGCCCAGACAGGAACATGTGCAGGAACGGCGGCCGGGACGACTGGAAGAAAAGACGTTGTTCAGCTCGCTTAAAATGACATGGTGAAGAATTCAGATGACCATTCTACATGCCCTAACCGCTGTATGGCCTTCCGAACTGTTTGTATGAAACGTATATTTATCGACTTTAATTCTGTATTTTGTCTGTACGTTGAACAGAACTCGAGTATTGGTGCCTTATTTAAAATGTCGGACAAAGTTTCACGAGTCAATCTGCGGATGTCAGTAACACACTTGGTGTTGTAGGTACGTTTTTACTGTAGATACCTGTATGTATCGTACACCTTGGTGACTAGACCCGTGAAGATCCGGGTTAGAACTGGGTGAGTGAGTGAGTGAGGGAGAGAGAAAGAAAAGCAACAGGCTTCACACTTTGTACCCATGTGGGGAGACCTGTGAAGACCCTGGTTAGAATTGGTCTTCAGTAACCCATTCTTGTAGTAAGAGGCGACCAACGGGATCGGGTGGTCAGGCTCGCTGACTTGGTTGACACATGTCCTCGTATCCCAATTGCCTAGATCGATGCTCATGATGTTGATCATGGATATGTGGTCCAGATTCTATTAATTACAGACTGTCGCCATATAGCTGGAATATTGCTGAGTGCGGCGTAAAACAACCAACCAACCTTGGTGACGGTCTCACCTTAATGCAATATCTTCTGTATGCATATGCCTGTTGCACTTTATTCTGCTGTAGGCAGAGTTGCCTTATTCAGACGGTAATAGATCGTATAACACCGTCTGAAGACACTGGAGAGAGGGTCGGGTAGCTGGTAGGGGGCAGAGTTGGTGGAAGAAGTGGACGTGGGAGACTGAGCATTGGATTAAGAGTGGCGGAATTAGGGCAGGAAGGAGAGTGAGGGGACTATTTCGTCGCCTGAAAACCAGAGTCTTCTATGTTCACTTAGTAAATTGAGTTAGGAAGCTCAGGATATGTTTTAATGCAAATTCTATCGCCATGCATTATTTCACGCTAATATATAGAATTAGAAAGTGGTTATACATCGTTTTATGTCCATAAAATAACACAAATTGTTAGTTCCAGAGTATTCTAAGTGGTTATTGGACCAATCAGCGGTTGGGGAGCTTATATAGGAATACGGGGGACGAAGAGGTTCCACTCTCAATAGCACGTCGCGACAAGCTGAATGTAGAGACTACAAGAGTGATCAATGTGCTCAGATCACCTGGTGTCCTGACGGGCGTTTCCAGTCAGACATACTGACTCGGATATTGCTTATCCCCATACCTCCTGTTGGTCATCTTTCTTCATAGTGTGCTTGGCGATGTACTGGGCCTCCTCCTGGCTGATCCACGGGTGCGTCTCGGGGGTGTCGTGGATACACAGGAACCACACCACACACCAGATGGCGCTCAGCCCACCTGCAGGGGGGATCCAGGTTGTTTACAACATATAGTCTTACGACGAGCCACACATGAGAGCAAAACTAATAATATGCCGTCCTGGTACGTTCCTTTTGCATCTCAATCAAAGGAATGGTTTCGAAAATACAAACATACAAGTCGTAAAGTAACATCACCAAAGACAACATATCTGGACGTGTATTTAATAACATAAATCACCAATATATGACAATTACTTAAAGAAAAGGTTGTGTAGATCGATATTCATGAAGTCAGTCACAGGATTGTCTGGTCCAGACTCCATTTTAGAGACAGCTGTGAGATAGCTTGAATATTGCTGAGGGCGGCGTCATTCATGCAACAAACAAACAAAACAAAACAAACAAACAAACAAACACACAAACAAACAAACACACACAAACAAACAAACAAACAAACAAACAAACAAAAACACACACACACACACAAAACAAACAAACACAAACAAACAAACAAACAGTCTAGTTCACTGCTTGTCCCTTACCAAATACATAAAAGACGTAGGGCCAGCCGTTGTCGTGGGGGATGGTGCAGATGAAGCCGGAGAGGAGAGACGCGGCGAGGCTGCCCACGTTGATACCTGCGGATGTGGATGTATGAAGAAGAGTCAGTGGGGAGGCTCGTAAGAGGGTGGGTATCACTTTGGTTTGATCAATGCAGAACTGGCATGATATATACACACAAAACACATGTTGCTGTTTATGTAGTCGATCTACTGTAGAAATACATCCAGTTGTAAATACTGTTAATAACAGTGTATGAAATAAGCCAAAAGTCCAGCCTGACATCTGGGCTGGTAACTTCAAAATGTTACCAGCCCAAAATGGATTTAACCAGACCAAATATGGAGAATTTACACAGATGTATGGAACATCGAAACATTTTTGACAGACCATCAAGCTGTAAATTTAGACCGTCCGTCAGGAATGTAGACCGTCTCAGGCGGTCGGACGGGCCTTATTTCATACACTGTTAATAATATTTTGATTTCAGCTACCGAGATATTCTTTTAACTCTGTCAGAAACTACTCATATTACTACTGATATTGCGGCAACAACTTTATTACCTTAACTACTGTGATGACTTCTTCGTTTACGCCTACGTCTACGCCTACGACCTGCTGACGCCTGTTGCTAAGACTACCAGCCCACACATTTAGTGCATCACTGAGTGCAGCGTTATACAACAAAACACGACCGCCGTTCCTTTAAAACAGTCACTGACGCTATTTTCTGTTTTAACGCCTTTCGGTAATTTGCTCCCACTTAACAAAGGATGTGCATATCAAGGTTGCTGGCACCCCGTGATGCCAACAAGTCATGTTGCTATGGTAACTACAACAGCATCTCAGTTTACGTACCCGTGTACGTGCTGGAGACGAGCTGGACCCGCTCCGGCCCGGGGGCCCAGTGTGACCACAGCTCCAGGGATGCGGGGAAGATGGTGCCCTACAGTCAGACAACAGTGAGTGAGTGAGTGAGTGAGTGAGTGAGTGAGTGAGTGAGTGAGTGAGTGAGTGAGTGAGTGAGTGAGTGAGTGAGTGAGTGAGTGAGTGAGTGAGTGAGTGAGTGAGTGAGTGAGTGAGTGAGTGAGTGAGTTTTACGCCGCACTCAGCAATATTCTAGCTATATGGCGGCGGTCTGTAAATAATCGAGTCTGGACCAGACAACCCAGTGATCAATAGCATAAGCATCGATCTACACAATTGGGAATCGATGACATGACTGTGTCAACCAAGTCAGCGAGCCTGACCGCCTGATCCCGTTAATCGCCTTTTAAGACAAGCATGGGCTACTGAAGATCAATTCTAATCCGGATCTTCACGGGTGAGTGAGAGAGAGAAATAGGTTAGATATTGCATTTCTATATTACCTCTTTGCGATGTTAAATGAAATCGTAAGCGTTTGGGAGCAGTATGACTCCATACGCCGTCAACTGATACGCCGTCAACTGATTAAAATACTGTTCAAACCGGCGTTTTACGTACTGACTGAAGTGTACGTCATTTGGCACACACATGGCAAAATCACCTAAAGTACCATGATTCTCTGTACAAAGCTGTGATCATGGGTTCGAATCCCGGTCCGCACTGAAAATGTTTCTTGGTTTGCAGGCACCAAAGGTTTAATGTCGCAATTGTCTAGGACCTACATCGCTTTGGTCTTCCTATTTTCAATGAGTCAATGCATCAAACCCAGTATGTTACGTAAGGGATACGATTTCTACTACGTTTTACTTTAGCGTGTGTGTGAGAAGCATTGACGCTTTTCTTCATTGCATGAACGCAAGGTACTTACTGAGAAGAACCCCAGGAAAACTCTCAGACCGATGAGAAAGTTAACGTGTGAGCGGGCGCCAAGCGGTGTCAGTAACGTGGCAACTGCAGACGCAGCCACGCTGACGCCGACGACTATCTTTGCTCCAAACCGCCGGGCGACGAAACCGCTGATGGCCGGGGCGACGAAGCTGCTGTAGAAGGCTGCAGAGAGGATGATGCCTTGGGTCTCGCTATCCCAGTCGAACTCCCCGCGGGGCATCTGCGGGATGGATGAGTGAGTGAATATAGTTTTACACCGCTTTTAGCAATGTTCCAGCTTTTTCACGGCGGGGCTTCAGACAGTGTATGTACCCATGTGGGGAATCGAACCCAGGCGAGCCAACGCTTTGACCACTAGACTACCCTACCGCCCTTGGAGATGATGAAAAATAATCAATGCTGTGCCCAGTACTACTTCTTCCAGTGAAATTACTGCTATTAATACTACCGTTACTTCCTTCTATCGTTGCTGCTTTTATTAAAGCATTGTTTCTTCCACCACCCTTTCATTGCTTCTGTCCACTGCAATATGGTTGATTTCGCTCCATACCATCATTGCTTCTGCTACTACCCAATCACTGCTTCTGCCACCCCTCCCCAATAACTGCTTCTGGTAACCCTCCCCCAATCATTGCTTCTCCTAACCCTCCCCCAATCACTGCTTCTCCTACCCTCCCCCAATCATTGCTTCTCCTAACCCTCCCCATCACTGCTTCTCCTACCCTCCCCAATCACTGCTTCTCCTACCCTCCCCAATCATTGCTTCTCCTACCCTCCCCAATCATTGCTTCTCCTACCCTCCCCAATCACTGCTTCTCCTACTCCTCCCCATCACTGCTTCTCCTACCCCTCTCCCAGTCACTGCTTCTCCTACCCTCCCCAATAACTGCTTCTGCTACCCTCCCCAATCACATCTGCTGCTACTCCCTCCCAATCACTGCTTCTCCTACCCTCCCCAGTCACTGCTTCTCCTACCCTCCCAATAACTGCTTCTGCTACCCCTCCCCCAATCACATCTGCTGCTACCCTCCCCAATCACTGCTTCTCCTACCCTCCCCAGTCACTGCTTCTCCTACCCTCCCGATAACTGCTTCTGCTACCCTCCCCAATCATATCTGCTGCTACCTCTCCCAATCACTGCTTCTCCTACCCTCCCCCAGTCACTGCTTCTCCTACCCTCCCTCAGTCACTGCTTCTCCTACCCTCCCTCAGTCACTGATCTCCTACCCTCCCCAGTCACTGCTTCTCCTCCTGCCCTCCCCAATCACTGCTTCTCCTACCCTCCCCAGTCACTGCTTCTCCTACCCTCCCTCAGTCACTGATCTCCTACCCTCCCCAATCACATCTGCAGCTACCCCTCCCCAATCACTGCCTGCTACCCCTCCCCAGTCACATCTGCTACCCTCCCCAGTCACATCTGCTGTTACCCCTCCCAGTCACATCTGCTGCTACCCCTCCCCAGTCACATCTGCTGCTACCCCTCCCCCAGTCACATCTGGAGCTACCCCCTCCCAGTCACATCTGCTGTTACCCCTCCCCAGTCACATCTGCTGCTACCCCTACCAAGTCACTGCTTCTCCTACCCCTCCTCCAATCACAGCTGCTGCTACAACCCCATCACAGCTGCTGCCACTACATCTACCACCTGCTTTACTACTCATCCAACTACTACAACTACATCCGTTGATACCTTGATGCATGCTCACAATATCAACCACTGGATTGTATTGTCCAGGTATCATTGTCTCCGTACTGCCGTCATATAACTGGCATTGGTCTTTGCAGGCTGAGTGCGGCGTTAAACAACAAACACACTTGAAAGTTCTTTTACCGATACGTCAAATTACCAATCCGTCTACCAATACTTCCTCCTTAAACAACGACATTGTTTTTCAACTGGTATGACTCCAATTGTGTGCGTGTTGATATATCTCACAGAAGGTGCTAAATCAGGCTTACAAATATCGTGTCCGGGGGCATTTTATATTTATAGATTCAGCTTGAAATATCTTTTACTGTTCCTGTCATCGTGACTTTCCGGTTCCTGTCCGTATCTACCAGCACCAGTCATACTTACGAATAACGTTTCATTAAAGGTGAGAGCGAGGGAGAGGTTTCCGTCCAGGCTCCAGTTGCCAGACCCCCCGCGCCTCCCCCCGGTCATGCACACCAGGGCCATTGACATACAGTTCCTAAGCAGAATGATGAAGACCACGCCCATGCTGGTCACTATGGCTGTGAACCAACGCCACGACGTTAGCTTTTGCAGGAACGACGGTACGTCAACGGCAGCATCGACGTTATCGGCCTCCTCCCCATCCTTCTTCAGCTTCAGAGGTTCATCTTTTGTGTCTGTGGAAAATAGTGAGTTAGGTTGCCCGTTCTGTGATCATTTTGAGATAGCCCTGATTTTAAGGCTTTGTGTTTAGAGGATATTTCAAACATATTAAAATGGGAAAATATGAGTAGGTAGGGGTCAAGTCATATATCCATTGAGAGATACCGGATGAAACACAACATAATGTCCCAGATTGCAGCTGCTTAGACACAACTGTGAGTTGCCAATACACTGCTGTGAGTTGCTAGGATACTGCTGTGAGTTGCCAATACACTGCTGTGAGTTGCTGAGACACTACTGGGAGTTGCAAAGACACGCAGAGAGCTGCTGAGAACTGATGAGTGCTGACGAGAGAGGCTGAGAACGTCAGTGAGACTGACTGTGTCGTATCTCTCTCACATGACCTAACTAATAAACGAAATAAACGAGATTCAGCAATTTTCCAGCTATATGGCGGCGGTCAGTTAATAATCGAGTCTGTACCAGACAATCCAATGATCAATATCATGTGCATCGTTCTACGCAACTGGGATTGTATTTATTGATTATTTTAAGGGTGTGACAAAATACCACTCAGACAGTATGTGCTATATCAATGTCTCGAACAACACTATTACTCCCACGCAATGCCTAACCCTGAAAAATCAAGTGAAGTGCCTTGGCAGTAACTTACTGTCAGGTTTGATAGAGGAATACGTTACATGTATGTGTATGTTATGTAAAATCATCAGATGGTGGGTGTAGCCTAGTGGTTAAAGAGTTCGTTCTATATGCGAAGACCTGGGTTCGATTCCCTACATGGGTACATTGAGGTTGCATGTGGTGTACAAGGGGTTGTCAAAATATCTTTCCCCCCCCCCCAAAAAAAAATAAGAAAATAAATAAAATAAAAATAAAAAAAAAATTACACTTTGGAGTAACATTTAACTAAAATACATATATTGAAATGGATAATTTGTTTTCGTTTTAAACTCGTCTTTCCAAAAGTACAACGGTGAATATTTAGGAGATTAAGCTACGATTTGGATCTGGTCTTACACATTTACTTACACGCTGGAACGAGTTTAGACGTTAGGTAATGTCCAATTTGTAGATAAGGACAAACTTAAAGGGTGAACTATTTCTTTATTCCGGTGATGCGACGTTTCGATACAGATCCTTGTTTCGTTACAGGGGTGGAAATAACCCATTGCCCGACGCCCGAGTGCAGTGTTTTTTTCTGTCGGGCAAGCAAATTTGTATTCACACTGTACCGGTGTCCAGTTGACTTTCCAATATTAATTATGTTGTTTATTTAAAAAATCAACAATAAAACGGCCGGTATAGTGGAAAACTTATCAGGGCAAGTGATTTTACATGTGCCACTGTACCGGAGTACACTAGCAATTATAAAGTTATTTCCACCCCTGGTCGTTGTCACGCAGGTATATGTACAACGATGCAAGAATCTCTATCGAAACGTCACATCACCTGAATAAAGAAATTGTTCATCCATAAAGTTTATCCTAATCTGACTCTCCAACTTCTAAAAATGCCACTCAAAAAAGTCGTCAAATTTTGAAACAAGAGAAAATTTGTTACGTATCAACATGTGCTATATACAATGAACACCTGAGACATCTCCCCAGAGTATATCACCAGGTGTCTTCTCCGATAATAAAATCAAAATCGATAAATCGATGTACGTACCTCAATATATCACGAAAATACATGCCTTGAAAATACAATAACATCCTAGTAAATCTATAAATATGTAAGTGTATCATGGAGTAAATTATATATGTTGCATGGTGTAGATCTGGATTAGAATTGCTTGTCGCTGAGAGGCGACTAACGGGATCGGTTGGTCAGGCTCGCTGGCTTGGTTGACAGATGTCATCGTATCCCAATTGCGCAGGTCGATGTTCATGCTGTCGATCACTGGATTGTCGGGTCCAGACTCGATTATTTACAGATCGCCGCCATATAGCTGGAATATTGCCGAGTGCGGCGGAAAACTCACTCACTCACACACTCACTCACTCACTGAACCTGCATAACGTATAAATATGATATACTGCACAAACAGTGTACTCACCAAGATTCCTTGCCTTCACAAGCGCCACGGGGTCCGTCTTACTAGGGTTGATGAAGTCACTGGGGCTTATCAGGGATATCGAATGCTTCGGCATCTCTTATTAATTGTCTGCCAACAAGCGTCAAAGACTATCAGTTTAGAGAAATACTGAAATAAGTCTTCTTGGAGTTAATACAACTGATTTTTAAAAACCAGTTCTACTGAATTCAATTCGCTTAAACCCAAAACGAATTAATATTTGCAACGTATATTCCAGTCGTGTGGTTTGGACTCTGATTCACCGCAAACCAATGCATTCTTGCGGTCGAAAGATTGTTTATATATCAATATTTACTTTTTATCTCGACAACAAAGGCTGTTTGTCTGCGGGGGGCCCAGCATCTGTCAGTCAGAAGGAAGCGATGTATATATCAGCGTGTACTTTAAGCGGTAATAGTCATTGGAGAAGGGACATGCTTCCTATTAAAACAAACGGATTATATCGCATATGTGCTCTTTGATAATCAGTTATGAATCATATCAATTATGATTAATGATGATATTTCCTGGTTTTATCACGAAATTTGCTATTTCTAAAGCGCATTTAATATTTTAACGACTGAACTTTAAATCAAAGGGTATTGTTAAAGTTTTAATATCATATAATTAGATTTGCTATTCTTTCAACTGCATCTGGAGCACAGGTAGGCTCAGACCATTTCCTTGTTGTCGGGGGCTGCATGCGTGTCTTATGATAATAGACGCTATACGCTATGACCCGGGTTAGATGCACTTTACTATTAACTTCGTGCTATATTTTAGTTAAGGCTGAGAGAATGAAAACTAAAGGGTTTCATATCTATCATCACATGTTCCATCTGCAAGGTACGCCTTTGAACAAGTTTCAGGGTGTTCGGTGAATTTTCTGACTTCAGATGACCTGTTGGGGTCACTGCAATAGTAATAATCCACCAGGGCCCCGTTCCTCTAAGCGATCGTCGCACTAAGATGATCGTAACTCCCATACTTTAACATAGACTTACGATAGTCGTAGCGCTACGATCGCTTTGAGGAACGGGCCCCAGTATTGTTCAATTGGTGTCTTTATTTGTTTTATTTAATGGAATCATGCCTCAAAGCGATCGTAGTGGCACGACAGTCGTAAGTCTATCTTAAAGTATCGGAGTTACGATCAACTTAGCGCTACGATCGCTTTGAGGAACGGGGCCCAGGACCTAGATTTTCGAAGCTCTCTTAGCGCTAAGATAGTCGTAAGTGCCATACATTAACATTAACTTACGACTATCTTAGCGCTAAGAGAGCTTCGAAAATCTAGGCCCAGGGCGTTAGTGAGACTGTGTGTGTAACGTACAGGACCCCGTTCCCAAAGAGGATCGTAGCGCTAAGGTGATCGTAATTCCCATTATTTTACATAGACTTATGACTATCGTAGCACTACGATCGCTTTGAGGAACGGGGCCCTGGTCCCCTCCTTTGGTGCGTTCCTGTGTGAGCTACCTGTAATCAGCTTACGTAGGTAAGAATCGATGGCATGTGGCCGCGCAGTGCTAGTGTACTCCAGGATCTATCACCAGTACAGGTGCTTTATCCCAGATCGTGACGTCATTGTAGTACTTAGTGATGCGATGGTGTTCCAGGGATATATAGGTATATGTAATGATATCGGAGTATAAGTATCTGAGAACCTTCATTGACTCTAGCTATAGGCTGAACTGGAACTCTAACACTAAAGCCCTATACATAAAGTGTCAACAACGTCTTCATCTCATGCGTAAACTGAGATCTTTTAATGTTAACCCATCTGTGATGTCATCTTTTTATGTTGCATTTATTCAGAGTATTTTAACATTTTCCTTCCATTGTTGGTACGGGTCTCTCTCAGTTCATCTCAATTAAAATAGACACAATTGTTAACACTGCAAGTAAAATCGCTGGCGTCAGATTTGAATGTTTATCATCAATATATGAACGGCAAATCGTGAATCAAGCTGTCAAAATCATATCTGACCGCACTCAATGCTTAAATGATAATCAGTTATGAATCATATCAATTATGATTAATGATGATATTTCCTGGTTTTATCACGAAATTTGCTATTTCTAAAGCGCATTTAATATTTTAACGACTGAACTTTAAATCAAAGGGTATTGTTAAAAGTTTTAATATCATATAATTAGATTTGCTATTCTTTTCAACTGCATCTGGAGCACAGGTAGGCTCAGACCATTTCCTTGTTGTCGGGGGCTGCATGCGTGTCTTATGATAATAGACGCTATACGCTATGACCAGGTTAGATGCACTTTTACCATTAACTTCGTGCTATATTTTAGTTAAAAGGCTGAGAGAATGAAAACTAAAGGGTTTCATATCTATCATCACATGTTCCATCTGCAAGGTACGCCTTTGAACAAGTTTCAGGGTGTTCGGTGAATTTTTCTGACTTCAGATGACCTGTTGGGGTCACTGCAACAGAAATAATCCGCCAGGGGCCCCGTTCCTCTAAGCGATCGTCGCTTTAACATGATCGTAACTCCCCATGCTTTAACATAGACTTACGACAGTCGTAGCGCTACGATCGCTTTGGGGAACGGGCCCTGATATTGTTCAATTGGTGTCTTTATTTGTTTTATTTAATGGAATCATGCCTCAAAGCGATCGTAGTGGCACGACAGTCGTAAGTCTATCTTAAAGTATCGGAGTTACGATCAACTTAGCGCTACGATCGCTTTGAGGAACGGGGCTCAGGACCTAGATTTTCGAAGCCTCTTAGCGCTAAGATAGTCCAGTGCCATACATTAACATTAACTTACGACTATCTTAGCGCTAAGAGAGCTTCGAAAATCTAGGCCAAGGTCGTTAGTGAGACTGTGTGTGTAACGTACAGGACCCCGTAGCGCTAAGGTGATCGTAATTCCCATTCTTTTACATAGACTTATCACTATCGTAGCGCTACGATCGCTTTGAGGAACGGGGCCCTGGTCCCCTCCTTTGGTGCGTTCCTGTGTGAGCTACCTGTAATCAGCTTACGCAGGGAAGAATCGATGGCATGTGGCCGCGCAGTGCTAGTGTACTCCAGGATCTATCATCAGCACAGGTGCTTTATCCCATTGTAGTACTTAGTGATGCGATGGTGTTCCAGGGATATATAGGTATATGTAATGATGTTCATGTTCACGTATTGTTATAATAAAATTCTATTTGGAACCGAGTGTTTATCTTCATAGCACACAGCTGTGTATAGTATACAGGGTGATATGTATAGATTTGTGACCACATTAAAAATATATATTTCTGATTACCTTATTTCTAATAATTGTACAGATTAACCAAAATATAGGTAAATAATATAAACAATTATAGGTCATTAATAACCTAAATAGAGGTAAATAATTTAAATAGATATAGGTTATTAATAAGCGAAATATAGTAAATAATATAAATAAAGGGTATTATTAAACATGGTTTATTTTTAATAGTGATATTCTTTAGGTTGTAACAGCATCAGCATGGGTATGTGTGTTTATATGCGTCTCGCATAAGGTTGCATACCACAAGCCGGACACAAACGAGCCGGACGCAAACGAACAGGATACAGAGAGAGAGAGAGAAAAATGTTTATTAAAGTGTCACGTGCTTTTGCAATAAAATACAGTACATTACATTAAAGATATACATTAAACACAAAAAGCACCCGGCCTTTTGGCCTATGAGACACTAAAATCACAAGCATTATCACAGTAATACAATAAAATAAGAGAATACAAATTTAACATACATTCCAGATTAATAACATGATATTTTAATCACACAAAAGTTATAAAAGCACTTCACCATATTGACGTAAACGTGCACACTCACACGCAAACACGCAATTATACACTCACTCAACCCCTCACGCAATCCTGCATTCACACACATCGTACAATCACGCACTCACATACACAATCACAGGCTTACACTATGACATTCTCGCACAAACATGTACACGCACATACGCAAATAACGTACTCACGCGCACATACATACATACATACATACATACATACATACATACATACATACATACATACATACATACATACATACATACATACATACATACATACATACATACATAAAAAAACATACATACATACATACATACATACATACATACATACATACATACATACATACATACATACATACATACATACATACACTGACACACACACATACATACACACACTGACACACACACATACATACATACATACATACATACATACATACATACATACATACATACATACATACATACATACATACAAACATACATACATACATACATACATACACATATATACATATACAGGTACACACATACATACACATACATATACACACATACAGTTCAGTACATACTGCACACACTCAGGCTGCTTTTTGCTTTATCTCACTCTACACACCTTCCACACACATATATCCCACATGAACAGACACACAAAACACATGGATATTAGCATATTAAAATATATATACTATATATACTATATCAAAAGTGAGGTTCTTCTTCTCGCCATAAGATGCACCTTGGAAGCAAGTAGAAGGTGGCATTGAGGATTTTGAATTAAAAAAATATATTTTTCTTTGTTTTTTTTCTGCATAAAAGCATGATCTATTTTCAGGGCCAATTTAAAAACGTCGTACATAATATTTGAGTACAGCGGGCACGTGATGGTGAAGTGGGCTTCATCCTCGATATACAGGGGGCAGAGTGGACAAACTCTGTCATTTAGTGGGATAGGCGGCTTAGCGAATCTCCCAGTCTCGATGCACAGAGGGAGACTGCAGGCTCTCAGTTGTATGAAGGACTTGCGGTGGTGTCTTGACATCGTATTGGTTACATAGGGTTCAGGGCATAAATCCTTCTTAAACAGTCGATAGGTCCTAAGCTTGTTTCCATTTGTTGCATTACCTTTATCATTCCACAAATCAATAAACCATTTCTGTTTATCCAAGATATTCAGTTTCCGGCGTACAACTGAAATTGTAGATTTGTCTAAATACAGGTATTGTTCCAGACCTAACGATTCGCTCAGTTTTTTAACTCT